TAAATCCTCTGTCAGGTTTTTATTGAACAAAAACCACTCAGATCTTAAATGAAATCTGGTTTAATATAAAAACTTAAGACTTTCCTAAACCTACCTACTACCTATTAGTATGTAGACAGTCAAAGCTACTATCAAATGAGAATAATAGAATCTGTGAATCAGTGGCATATCTGATACTCACTTGATGGCAAATATCTTCAAGCAACTCCATTGTGATGTCTTCAACAAACATGTCCCACCAGGCATTGTGTTTAGGATTCCTTCCATTCCAGTCCAGAACTTCAAACTTGCTGAGCTTGCCCGCTAGGAACATTAGTGCTACTGCAATTACTTCGGGCTCCCATTGTAGACATAATGTTGTGCACAAACTGGAAATAGTAACAACATTGTTACCACTAAACCCACCATCATTATATTAAGTAGCACACATTAATAATGGGTAACTACATAAATTAGCTACTAATTTTATTTGTATTCATTCAATTCAAATGGCAAAATGGTATTTTTAGGAAACCATTAAAGTCCATTAAAACAATAACTAGTTATAGTACCGACCTGTCATTAACAAATGTCCACGCCATTTGTACCATCTTCTGCAGCTTGGCCTTGTCGCCTTTGAGACATTTGGCATACTTCAACAAGTAGCCGTATGGATGCTCCACCTGCAGGTCAAACTTGATGGTCTGCAGCAGAATCCTCTCTAACGTCATCACCTCCTCTTTGGGATCTTCGCCGAAACTCGCAAACTTTTGTTCAGTAAGCAAAGACTTGGCAACTTTAATTATGTCTTTGCATTTCTTTGGCGTCTCTTCTACTTTGCCCGCTAGGAAGAGGCAACAGCAAGCTGTGATGTACCTCGGGAATGTTCTGAACGAGTGGAACATGTAGAAGCGATGGAAATAAACAACACCAGTGGCCACTGTGTTATAACCTAGGTCCATCTTCGAGCCTGTGTCAATGATGAACCTGGCGCCTTCCTTCCTGTACCGGTTCTCTGTTTCAGTAGTAATGGCATCTCTAAACGACGGCGTGTTCTGTAGATCTTTCTTGTCATAGTACCAGTAAGGCATTGTCGTTGTTTCACTATAACACAAATATTATCGATACACGGTCACTAACCTCCACAGCCATTTATTTATTACTGACAACTAATATAACACAATCAAATCGCAAAGTTCTTATAATTCGCATAAAACTTCGCTATAACATCAATATTACAATTTGATAGGGTTATATTAACACGTTTGACGTTTCTAGTTGCGGATTGTTGCCAAAAACATAAACAAAAAAAAAATGTTGCCATCACAAAAAATAATTTTGTTTCTGGGCCTACTTTTTGGAACGTAAAGCGAGATCAATTATTTACCAACAAGAAAGCACAGTTTATCATAATATTACTTGTGTTCAAGATTATCACAATCATTACCAGAACTAAGTTTGAAACTATGATAACATTTACTTTTGTCTATGGGTATAGCTATATGGTAAACGATATTGAATTGATTTAATGATAATCAACCGGCGAAATACGCGAAAATGGTCATGGTTAAATCTAATTATTTTATTTACCCGGCTTTGTTCTCCGAATAATTATTTTTTATGACGAGGTCGAGAACTTCACGTATAACGACAACTCGCCTAACCCAGCGGGCGGCCTGCCTAAATTACGTCTTCTTTCCGAAGTCCCTATTCAAGTTCTTCTGGAACCCACGGACCATCAGTCCTTCGAGCGTTGTGGCCTACCCATTGCCACTCCAGGTTGCAGATTTTACGAGCTACCAAGCTACATCGGTAACTCGGTTATTTGGATCTCCACCTCTGTCTAGGAGGCTAAAAGACAAGGCCCGGGGCCAAGTGCCATAACTGGCAAAGAATCTTCTTTGAAAAACAGAATGATGTTTTGCGACATTTGTCTAGCTAGGTTCTCAGTGAGATTTTATTCACGTGTAATTTTTCTCTACCTGACTCTGTGGACATCCGTTTTGTCTGCGACGTAGTTGATGGTTTGCCGGTAGTACAATTTTTATAGCAAATTATATTATCATGCCCCCGTTCCTCAATGAATGCTATCTTAGAACCATTGTTATACCGTATTGTAGTATTAGGTCAGGCTTGCATGAGACTAGCATACCTAATCTGTCGTATAACAAGCATTTCTAGAAGTAAATGATATCAGATCGTGTGCTGTGAATAATAAAACAACCTTCCAACGATGCGATAATTGCTTTTATCCCGTCGTTATGGTAGTAGGACGCCCTAATACCGGCGTTGCAGGAATGTCCCAGTAACGATCCGAACGTTATTTGCAAAAAATAATGTTCATGCTATGGAGGTCAAGAGTATTGAATATTTATTTCGCTACTTAAGGTTGACAAATTCAGTAAAAATCCTAAAAAAGAATGCAAGCTGCATCATATTCCTGTGAGACATGAATTAGGTACTTCACAAGGCTTTTAGATTTACCAATTACACCTACCGATGATTATCAGGTCCCAGTGTCGTCGGATGGATGGCCTAACCCACCAAAAGCCCGCTATTTATACCAATTACAATCTGTGCTGCTATCTTATCGAAAAAATGATTAGATTTCGCAATCCGATTTGCGCATTTTCTTTAGAAGTGATAAGTTCTGACCAGCCTAGTGGGACCCCGGAAACAACATCTATTTAATAAATAAAAAATGTAACATGAATAAGTGGATCTTCAAGCTTGTTTTTAGCCTATTTGTTTCGACTTGTAATAATTTATTACAAGTAGAAATATTGTCATTTATTAGGTACTAATAAATGATAATATTTTAATCTTAACGGAGCTTCACCTCCTATCTTGAAGTGTATTCTTGGTGTTATTAAAATTGCCGGTCTATTAAGAGCTCAGGTTTCGTTGGGACTGCTTATCAGACTACAGGAAAATGAGTCGTCGCCTGCTTTTTAACTGCGTGAGGGGCAAGTGAGGGGTAATGACTCACGCAAAAATGAGAACGGCATTGACTGACTAAAGTTAACTATTGCTCAATATTTATTGCCCCATGTTATTTCTAATGCGCAATCACTGTACTAACAGTAGTATGACTCGAAGATGCATAGAAGTACCTACATAATTATGTAACTTTTTTATAACTTTAAAACTATAAATAAAGAAGAGGTAAGAGGCGGCTAAATGAGCAGACAAGGCGGCTAAATGAGCAGACAGATTTATTATTTATTATGTTTTCGGCTTACTCACGTAATAATTTGACGAGATACTCGACTAGTTTCAAGCCATGCTAGAGGCCCATATTCATGAGCAGCATTCCGCGACACGCGACTCGGCGACCGTCGCGCTGCTACTGAATAATTTAGAATGTCTCACGAAAGTTATAATAAAAAGACAGATTTATTGTTATGCATAAGCATGCCTGGTATTACAGCGCACCAAATTCCTTAACTTACTTAATATTATGTAACACTAATTTTTAACAACCCTTTTCCTGGCTCTGGGCTTTTATAGCGAGGCAGTAACCAGTTATTAATTCTTTAACATCACCCTTTAAAATCCGCTGCTAAGAAGAAGGAAATGGTCAATGATGTATAAAACTAAACGTCATTGGAAATGGTAGGTAGTTTACCATGGCTGGGGGTCCTAATTATGAGGCCATCGCAGGAATTGCCTGGTTATGTAGCGGATAGTCGTTCTAAATACTACTAAAATGTGATGGTAGTGACGCGATAAGAGCGCCCTCGCTAAAAGGTCATTATGTATGTGTATGGAAGTCGGGTTTGATGCTCAGTGAAGTCTTCTGACTGGAGATGGTGATGGAGAATACTTTTTGCATGGAAGGAACCGACTTGTCCAAAAAACTTATAATCTAATCTTATCTTCTATCGTCGACTAACAGACTACTTAGGTGCTAACAGAGATACCGCTTATGGCACACGTATATATGTATATAAAAGGTACAGATAAAGTCATTAGGTAAAATGACTGTGTAGTAGTTTGATGCATTCCTCACTGCGACCACCACGAGATAAGTCCATGACAAGGAGCCTCAGTCATAATGAACAATGTTATGACTGTATGGAGATTTTTAGTTCATGTTTTTATTTTATGACAGTCGTGGTGGCCCTCAGGTTCAGGCGCCGCCGCTTCTTGCGATGTGTCCGAGGTAAATGTTAGGTACTATCTATGATTATTTAGATACCCATACCAGATGAAAGAAAACATCGGGAGGAGAGACCTTTGCTCAGCGGTGGTTAATAATAGGCTGGTGATATGTGTAGGTTCTTTTAATTTCTATATTAGCCAACGATGCAGGTCAGGTGTGCAAACAACCTAATCGCAGGCGACCGCCATAAATTTTTTTACTTGCCAATGTTTGTTTGTTTTAAAATGGGTTATCAACCTGCCTTAGGTAGTCTAAGCCTAGACACGAGGGTCAATATTTCAACAAGTGTCTTTAGGTTTGTTCATGTCTCCAGCAGAGTAGAAAAGTATGCTGCGTGGGTGAACTACTGTTGTTTTTTTGATGAGCTACGTCGGCAAACGAGCAAACGTGTCACCTGAATGTAAGCAATTGGCGCCGCCCATGGACGCTTGCAATACCAAAGGGATAACAAGTGCGTTGTCGGCCTTTTGTGGGTTGTTAGGGATTTGAGGATAGCAAACTTGGGGATTAAGCGATTGTGGGAAAGAAACACGATGTAAGAGTTGTTTGACGACGTTATTCTGTGAGACGAGCCGGCTGATACATGCCAACGTATGGCTTTCCCCCATTTGTTGGTCATAAAACGTTGCACATCAATTATTTTTCAAAGTAACCTACAGAGGATTGCAATTAGGTACTTATCATATTACTTGATTGAATATGGCGGTACCTAAATATTAAAAGACATAATGTTTTCATTCCGCTAAACTTTCCCCGCTGTACGCTTCACAAACCGGTTTCAAACGTCTTATTGTCAAACATCTCCCAAGAGAGATTAGCATTTGACCTCATGACCTCCGAGTTGTTATCCTGTTATCGAAGAATTACGTTGACACAGCAGTTTCAAAATACTGAACATGCTTGTACGAAACGCGTCGTTCGCCTTATCACAATTGCTAATGCGTTAAACAACGATATAGTATTAATTTATAATGAGCATACGTCAGTTACAACATGGCGCTGAAGACGGGTGCTAGTGTTTTGCGACTGAACACGCTACGAAATGCCGCCGTCAGGGTTAGTCCTACCATCACTCAAATATTATAAACACATCTATCAATTAACTTTAAAACGAATAAACGTTTCAAAAATATAAAAAAGCGTGGATTTTTCACAAAATTAAGTATTTTTAGTGAACTAAATCAGTGCGGGCAGTGATTAAAGTTGATAAAGATATTTTGTATTTTATCATTACCGTCAGTCAATAATGAACCTAGTAACATAATCATAAGTTTGTTTTTATTACATCACTCGTTGCGGCTTGATAAAAACGGCGTGATTGAATAACTTATAAGATTGCCTGATATGTTCGTAAAGTATATTCAGGCGGGTAATTTAAATTATTTAAACATTTATTCTGCATTTGCTATGCGTTAGGATTGGGTTTAAAAAACTTTATTGTGTTGGGCAGTTTAGGTACTTAAATAAGTTGCGTTTAACGTGCGTGTTTTGTCATTGTTTGTTATTTTCAAATAGTGAAAGTCACAGGGTAAGCTTACCAGTGCCTATCCTGTGATTCCTAAAGTATGTGGAACGTGTTTTACAGCTGCTGTCCACCCACACAAGGCCGGAGGTTGCACAAAACACGAAACATGCCGAATTTCCGGGCGCTAAAGCTCCCTACGTGACGGAAATGAAGTTCCTGAACGAATCGAGCTACGACCCCATCCCTATCTACCGAGTGTTGGACAACAGCGGGTCAGTGCTCGAGAGTAGGGAGGAGCCAAATATCGATAAAGATGAACTTGTGAATATGTACAAAACTATGGTGCAGCTGACTCAAATGGATAAGATTTTGTACGAGTCTCAAAGGTAATAAAAATATTGCGTTTGTTTTCTAATGCCATACTTAATACACTAAAATGACGTTGCGTGAAGGAGATATTAAACTTGCGTTGTTATTATGTCGTGATGCTACTGTTTACTACCAACAATTAAAAATGAAAACTTGTTTGCAAGAATGAATAAATTACCCTCGCTTAAAGATTTTAATATTTCGATATTCTCTCTCTCTCTGCCTAACTATCTCTCCAAATCAGAAAGATGGAATGTTTGCTTATGGATGGTTTATAAGAATCTAATGTTTTTAAACTATTTTACAGACAAGGCCGTATATCATTCTACATGACCAACTACGGCGAGGAAGGTATCCACGTCGGTAGTGCAGCTGCTCTGAGCCCTCGAGACCTGGTGTTCACCCAATATCGAGAAGTTGGAGTATTCCTTTACCGAGGGGTGACAGTGACTGAGCTCATCAACCAGTGTTACGGCAACCACGAGGACCCTGGCAAAGGAAGGCAGATGCCAGTCCATTATGGCAACAAGCACTTTAATCTTGTGACCATCTCCAGCCCTCTAGGTAACAAAGCCTAAGTGAAACTGGCCCATTTTAACGTCACTCATAAAGGGGATTCTGTCTTTTAAGCTTTAATCCTCGCTTCTTGAGAAAATAGTTTTGCTGGTTCGTTTCAAAGTGTAGTTTTCTATTAAGTGGACTTCTAGTTCTTCTAGTCAAAACTTTTTTGGTCTTTGTAAATTATAGAATCAGTTTCTAAACAGGCATTAGTGTCACGAATTTATATTTCCATAAAGGATGCTCTAAAATACATAGACAGGTAAAAAATTCAGTCAATGCCTCATGCTTAATCATTTAAATTTCAGGAACTCAAATGCCCCAAGCAGTAGGCGCAGCTTACGCACTGAAGCGGCAGCCGAACAACGACCGCTGTGTGGTCTGCTACTTCGGAGATGGTGCTGCGTCTGAAGGAGATGCATTCGCTGCATTCAACTTTGCAGCTACATTAGACTGTCCTGTTATCCTGTTATGGTAAACCTAGTTTTCTAAACATGTTTATAAAGTGGGAGAGCCAAGCTTCTGCATAAATGGGTCGGCTCGAACGGAGTGATACCAATCACAGAAAACCGGCGTGAAACAGGCCGGCCCAATCCCTCCCCCTATCTTTAAATATACGCAACCCTTATCCCTTAAAAGGGCGGCAATGCACTCGTAACTCCTTTGGTGTTGCGGGTGCTCAGATCCAGGGGGGCGCAGATTGCTAACCACCAGGTAATGCGTAAGTTCCGTCCTATCACATTAAAAAAAGCTGTTTAGCTTACTTCTTTTGAATAAACAAATTGCAATAAGACGTGTATTGTAACTTATTTTTATCTTGCAGTAGAAACAACGGCTACGCGATCTCGACACCAACTAACGAGCAGTACAGAGGCGACGGTATTGCTTCGCGTGGCCCTGCGCTTGGCATTCGCACTGTCCGCGTCGATGGCACCGATACGCTCGCTGTGTACAATGCTGTGAAGCAGTCCAGAGAATACGCCATAGCTAATAACAAACCCGTACTGATTGAGGCAATGTCCTACAGGTCAGTAAGTTCTCATGAAGCCCCTTATAACGTACATAACAAGACTTATCTTTAGTCTTGGTTTAAACCATTCAGTAAGGTTTTGTATTTTGAATCTTAATGTCACCAACCTTCAATTTGAAATACATAAACTGGATCAATGCTTTAAACCTAGAAGAAAATCCTTGTTTTATAATAAGGCCGTAAGAGTTTAACTGCTACTATTCACAACTTTAATATTCAATACTTTTATCGATCACAATTGTGCTAAGTCTGAAATTCTGAACTATCTACTTATTTTAATTTCAGAGTGGGACATCACTCCACCTCTGACGACAGCACAGCTTACAGATCAATTGAAGAAATACAAAAGTGGACCAAAGATGAAAGCCCGCTCCATAAGTTTAAAATGTATTTGGAAGCTAAAGGTGCGTTTAGTTATTTAGGTAATAAAATAATGACATTTCTATTTCGTTTAAGATATTTAGTGACTTTTAATAAAAATTATAGGTCTTTGGGATGCGGAAGCTGAGAAAACTTGCTTGAAAGAATCAAGGGACACGGTTGTTAGAACTATGCAAGAAGCTGAAAAGAAGAAGCGACCACATTGGAAAGAAATGCTTGAAGATGTCTATTATGACATGCCTCCTAGAATCCAGTAAGTTTAAATAATAATTGTTCTATTTATTGAATATTCTAGATGCGACTAATGCAATTACCTATTTAAAAAAACGAATACATTTTTTTTTTCAGAAAACAAATGAAACAAATCGAAGAGCACCTAAAGAAATACCCAGACAAGTACCCACTCGATCAATACCAGGATTAATTTATGTTTTGTTAATTGTTATAATGTTTTAATAAAATAAAAAAATGTTTCGATATACATTTGTTAATGCTTGTACAACCCTAATATGATAAATCTCTGAGAATGTGATGTCCATAAACACGGCAAAATAACTGATAGAATCATGTAGAACCATTCTTTACAAAATTTAGGAAGACAGTGAATTTATTGTATGTATTAATATTATAAACGACAAACTTTTGGCACATGGCACATTTTTGTAACTTTTTCATGGAAGAAATACTGAACGGATCTAAATTAAATTTGGCATAAAGAAAAATAGTGTGACAGAAAACTCTTTGACATCATGACGTCAATGGATGGTTGTCAAACGTTGCCTAGAGATTGTAAATTTCGTCGTGAATTGTCAACACGAGTTGGTGTAATCGGTAAGGCGTGTGGATTACACCACAGAGACCCCGAGTTCGAGTCCCGCCGTAAACATGAAGTTTTTTAGTTGATGGAAGTTTTGTCGAACTTTCTGGAATATTTGAGTGAAAGTAATGAAAAATTAAGGAGCGAGAAGGAGAATAAATAAAAATGAATAACGAAATTATTGGAAGGTTCTGGAGGCATGACGATCAAAAAGAATAACGAAATTGAATGTTCTAGAACCTGACCAGGGGTATATAAGCGGAACTGCGGCTCACCGCTGGCAGTTGAGTTCTAAGTCTAAAGCGATTCGGAAGAAAAGGAAGAAGTGAAAAAGAAGAAAAGTGAGTGAAATAGTGAAGTGCAGTGAAATAGTGAAGTGCAGTCAGTTAAGTGAAGTTAGCGTGAACGGCAAAGTTGTGTCAGTCGGCCGGACTCTGCTGGAGAGGAACGCCGATAACTTAACTCCGTGGACGCTGTAACTTAAGCGCAATAGAAAGTCTGAAAACCGGTATTAGTGTTTCATTTCATCCAATCCCGTAACCCAAGCCCGCATAGTCAGGAACGTGACGTCAGGCACGTAACATTTGGTGTCAGAAGTGGGATTGGAGAAAAATGCCGCTAGTGCCGCAGGACGTAAGAGGAGTGAGTACCCGTGCTATGTCAGAAGCGCAGCGTGTGAGGGAAGAGGGTGCTGCAGCTCAGACCAGCGATGCAGAAGCCAAGCCTGTGCAGATGGATCTTCTGCTACAGCTGCGGCAAATGATGGCAGAACAGCTGCGTGAGCTGAAAGAAGATCAAGCGCGCCGCCAAGAAGAGCAAGCACGCTGTCAGGCAGAACAGCTGCGGGAGCTGAAAGAAGATCAAGCGCGCCGCCAAGAAGAGCAAGCGCGCCGCCAAGAAGAGCAAGCGCGCCGCCAAGAAGAGCAAGCGCGCCGCCAAGAAGAGCAAGCACGCTGTCAGTCAGAACAGCTGCGGGAGCTGAAAGAAGATCAAGCTCGTCGCCAAGAGGAGCAAGCGCGTCGCTTGGAGGACATACATAAAGATTTCACGAAGGGACTGCAAAAGGCTGTCGAACGGGTACAAGAAGTGGAGGAAGGGTTAGGCAAGTTGAAACTTCGCGTCATGGCGATAGAGGAGAGACTGGAAGAAGAGATCTCCAAAATCAAGCAGGAAGTGACAAACCCAAGCCCTTTGAAGAGCCGAAGCCGTCTTGCAGCCGTTTTTGACGCCCCAAATGCGGCCTTAAGCGCAACGAAAGGGCTCAAGATTCCCCATTACGACGGAACAACATCCTGGACTGCGTTCAAGCTACAGTTTGAGACACTTATGGAGGCTTATGGTTGGACTCAGAAGGAAGCACAGTCAGCCCTTACCCTGGCCCTCCGTGATCAAGCGCTCTCAGTGCTGGAAGCTATCGGCGCAAGTGGGGATCTCAGCTTTAGTGCCCTCCTTGACGCACTTGAAGCACGTTTTGGAGACAGCCACCTCGAGCACGTGTACAGAGCGCAATTAAAAGAGCGTACTCAGCGTGCTAATGAGAGCCTACAGCAATGGTCCGTGGAAATCGAGAAACTTGTACGTCGAGCTTTCCGGTCGACTCCGTCAATGATTGAAGGCACGCTTCTCCAAGCGTTCATTGACGGTATTCGGGACCCAGAAGTACGAGCTGCTGTTCATCTGGGCCATCACAAGATCATGAAAGAAGCTCTGGCCCATGCATTGGAAGTGGAAGCCGTGCGTGGCAACTCCCGTACCTTACGTCTGCGGGAAATGACGACAACGGAGCAGGTACCTCCACGCCGTCGGAACTTCATGTGCTATGGATGTGGAGAGCGTGGGCACATACGGAGCGACTGCCCGAAGAAGATGAACCGCAAGGACGCGGCGGTCTCAACTTCTGACCAGCAGGGAAACTTAAATCCAGCCAGGGCTGCGGGGTGGGCGCCGGCTGGTAGTGGAACAACCCCAACAATCTACATCAAGCAAACCAACGATGGAAATACTCTGGTGATAGACGGTCAAGTAAATGGGAAAAACAGTCAGCTAACATTAGATACTGGAGCTTCAAGGACGGTGATAAATGTTCGGCTGCTCGAGCACAACATCAGGAAACACCTTAAACCAATTGTTGGCCTACAAATGAAATCAGCTACCGGCCAGTGCATATCGATAAGTGGAAAACTGCATGTAACAATCAAAATTGGGGAACGTGTTTATCGACATGAGGTTATTGTGGCCAAAATTCTGGATGACTGCATCCTGGGACTTGACTTCCTGCAAGGGCACCAGTGTAACATCGACCTAAAATCTGGAGTATTACTATGTGGAACTGAGGAAATTCCGATGAAGGGTGGAACCCTGGGAAAAGTTTGCTGTTTAAGAAGAACTGTTCTTGCACCAAAATCACAGACTCTCGTACCAATTGCATTACCTAGGAGGAGGGAAGGAAGTTTACCTCGAAGGTGCGCTGTGATTGATAAATCGGAACACGTAAACTCATGGCTACCGGCAAGAACTGTCGTGGGGTCATCTGATGTTAACCGCATTCCGGTATTCAACTTCAGTGATTCAGAAATTACGATTGAAGAAGGAGAGCCTGTGGGCGTATTGGAAGAAGTGGCCTGGATAAGAAAATGCTCGGAAAATCTTGTGAAGAAGGACAGTACGGGAATAGACTTTGTAACGAAAATCTTAGACGAAAACAAAAGTCTGACAAAAGTGGAGACTATGAAAGCTAGAAATTTACTTCTTCGATTCTCTGATGTGTTTTCAAGAAGCGATGGTGATATTGGCCGAACTGGTTTGGTGAAGCATAAAATAAACACAGGTGATACAATGCCAATTCGTCAAAGGCCCAGACGTATACCATTCGCTCGTGAGAAAGAGGTTGAAGAAATGATTGACGATATGAGGAAAAATGACGTGATAGAGCCCTCTTCTAGCCCTTGGTGTTCACCTGTCGTGCTTGTCAAGAAGAAAGATGGTTCAACGAGGTTTTGCGTAGACTATCGACGATTGAATGATGTAACCAAGAAGGATAGCTACCCGTTACCAAGAATCGATGACACACTTGACACATTGAGTGGCATGAAATGGTTTTCAACGCTCGATCTGAAAAGCGGCTATTGGCAGGTGGATTTGGATCCCAAGGACAAGGAAAAGACCGCATTCTCAACTGGGAAGGGACTCTGGCAATTTAAGGTGATGCCATTTGGATTATGCAATGCACCGGCAACTTTTGAGCGTTTGATGGAACAGGTGCTGGCGGGACTGCTGGGCGAAACCTGCCTAGTTTACCTCGATGACATCATCATTGTTGGACGGGATTTTGACGATCATCTAAGGAAATTGGAAAAGGTACTCGACAAGCTGCGTGGAGCAAATTTAAAGTTGAGTCCTAAGAAATGCTCTTTCTTCAAGCGCGAAGTGAATTATCTAGGACATATTATTTCTGAGAGAGGAATTGAGACTGATCCAGCCAAGACTGTCGCTGTTAAGGAATGGCCAACACCTAAAGACAAAACGCAAGTTCGGGCATTTCTTGGATTGTGCTCGTATTATCGGCGGTTTGTGAAAGGATTCTCGGACATTGCCAAGCCATTGCATCGATTGACAGAGGAGAAACGTGCCTTTATCTGGGACGAGGATTGTGAGCAAGCCTTTCGAGAACTAAAAGAACGGCTTTGTAACACACCAATTCTCGGATACCCCAGCGCGAAAGGAATATTCGTAGTTGATACGGATGCCAGCAATATTGGAATAGGAGGTGTCCTTTCACAACGCGATGGTGAGCAGGAGAAGGTTATTGCTTACTTCAGCAAGTCACTATCCAAGCCGGAGAGGAATTATTGCGTGACCAGGAGGGAATTGCTGGCCGTAGTCAAAACTCTGCACCATTTCAAGAAGTATTTACTGGGACGGAAATTTTTGATCAGAACTGATCACGCTGCTTTGAAATGGCTGCTTCAGTTTAAGGATCCCGAAGGCCAAGTAGCCAGATGGTTGGAACAACTTCAGGAATTTGACTTTGATATCGAACATCGCGGCGGAAGAATTCATGGCAACGCAGATGCATTATCGAGACGCCCATGCGTGGAAGATTGCAAGCATTGTGCCAAGAAGGAAACTGCTTTTCTTAAGGTGATAAGGACTGATACTGTTGACGAGGCATGGGGAGATGATGCGATGAAATTAGAACAGGAAAGAGATGCAGATATTAAACCAATACTGGAGTGGGTACGAAGTGGTAACAAGCCAAGTTGGAGTGACGTCGCCCAATTTAGCGCGGTAACGAAAGGTTTATGGGCACAGTGGAAAAGCCTTACGCTGCATAACGGACTTCTGTGCAGGAAATGGGAATCAACAAACGGCAAGGACGAGCATTTGCAATTGGTGGTGCCTCGTTCAAAAATAAGGGATGTATTAAAAGCGTTCCATGATGGATCTTCTGGAGGACATTTGGGAATTAGGAGGACTTTGGTGAAGATCAAGGAGAGGTTTTATTGGTTGCATTGCAAATATGACGTCGAAGATTGGTGCCGGAAATGCACTAGTTGTGCAGCTGTCAAGGGTCCACAAACAAGAAGCAGAGGGGCGATGAAAATCTACAATGTTGGTATGCCTTGGGAGAGAATAGCCTTAGACATCGCTGGACCATTTCCAATCACTGATTCGGGCAATCGCTACGTTTTAGTGGTTATGGATTATTTTACAAAATGGCCGGAGGTCTTTGCCATACCGAATCAAGAGGCAGTAACTGTAGCCACGAAGTTGGTAAACGAGGTATTCACCCGATTCGGAGTGCCCTTGGAGATGCACAGTGATCAAGGACGGAACTTTGAATCCCAAGTTTTCCAGGAAACTTGTAAACTTTTGGGAATCCATAAGACTCGAACGACCCCTTATCATCCACAGTCAGATGGAATGGTCGAACGCTTCAACCAAACATTGGAGCGACACTTGGCAAAGGTGGTTGACAGCCATCAGAGAGATTGGGACACTTACATACCTCTCTTCTTGCTTGCCTATCGGACTGCTGTACATGAAAGTACCGCAAAGACGCCTGCATTTGCAAATTTTGGAAGGGAATTGAGATTACCGGCAGATCTTGTATCGGGCTGTCCACCTGGTGACTCTCGCACCGAGTTTAGCGATTACATAAGCGAGTTAAGGGCAAAAATGTTGGACATTTATGAGCAGATCAGGGAGGCCGGTCTTCAAGCTAGTGATCGCGCAAAGACGCGCTATGATCGACGAGCCAATTCTGTTGGGTTTGAAGAGGGGTCATTGGTCTGGCTTCATAATCCAGTCAGAAGGAAGGGAAAATCTCCAAAGCTGCAACCGAGTTGGGAAGGTCCTTACGAGATAGTCACGAAGATCAATGACATTACTTACAGAATTCGGAAGTCTTCAAGGAGCCCTTTGAAAGTTGTCCATATAGACAGGTTGGCGAGGTATTACGGCAGCAACGATGCTCGGGACGAGCGAATCTAAGAGGGGGGCAGTGTGACAGAAAACTCTTTGACATCATGACGTCAATGGATGGTTGTCAAACGTTGCCTAGAGATTGTAAATTTCGTCGTGAATTGTCAACACGAGTTGGTGTAATCGGTAAGGCGTGTGGATTACACCACAGAGACCCCGAGTTCGAGTCCCGCCGTAAACATGAAGTTTTTTAGTTGATGGAAGTTTTGTCGAACTTTCTGGAATATTTGAGTGAAAGTAATGAAAAATTAAGGAGCGAGAAGGAGAATAAATAAAAATGAATAACGAAATTATTGGAAGGTTCTGGAGGCATGACGATCAAAAAGAATAACGAAATTGAATGTTCTAGAACCTGACCAGGGGTATATAAGCGGAACTGCGGCTCACCGCTGGCAGTTGAGTTCTAAGTCTAAAGCGATTCGGAAGAAAAGGAAGAAGTGAAAAAGAAGAAAAGTGAGTGAAATAGTGAAGTGCAGTGAAATAGTGAAGTGCAGTCAGTTAAGTGAAGTTAGCGTGAACGGCAAAGTTGTGTCAGTCGGCCGGACTCTGCTGGAGAGGAACGCCGATAACTTAACTCCGTGGACGCTGTAACTTAAGCGCAATAGAAAGTCTGAAAACCGGTATTAGTGTTTCATTTCATCCAATCCCGTAACCCAAGCCCGCATAGTCAGGAACGTGACGTCAGGCACGTAACAATAGTAACCACTATTGTAGACAGGCTCCTTTTTATTGTATAATAATTTAATTTTATCTTTTGATTACTCATGTTTATCTTTATAATGCGCGAACGGAACGTATCAGTCAAAAGAATTAATGTCATTATGCCAATTACTGTCAACCGTAGCTGTCAACTGTCAATATCGCAATTCTAACATCAAAACCATTTCATGCTCTTTCTCTTTTGCTCTCAAGTAAATTTGTATAAGTTTTTCTCTTACTAGCCATAAAACATATGGTCGAGTACATTTATTTCAACAAACAAGTGTGCTCTTTTGCAAGCTATAAAATACATTTATTTACAAAGTTTTTAATTAGAATTCCTTAATAATGTCCTTATTAATACGCACCGATGTAACTGCTGTAAAGTTTTACAAGAAATTTGTGTTAGCCGGTTAGTTTTTAGGTTACAGAGTTATCATAACACAAGTGAAAAAAATCCATTTAACTAATATTCCCGATATTTGGTAATTTTCAGGCATTGGAAATACTATTAATATATTCGACAAGGAATCTGCCAAGTTACTACAGCGTTTGATTGGTTTAAACGGTCAGAAAATATATGGATTCGTACCTTCGCATTGTGGCACCAAAATACTTGTGTTTGGTGGTAAACAGTTCACAGTACTTGCGTTAGTGAGTTCTGAAGAATGTGATGAGGGAAATGAAGTGTTTTGTAGAATGTTTAAGCCTGTAGTTTGCGATGATTGGCTCCATTCTGCTGTTTGGGTGAATAATGATGTTGTAGCACTGTTAACAGCTCACAATGTGGTTCAGGTGAGGTTTTTCATCATTTTATAAGAAAGAAAGAAATAATTTTATTTGCACAACCTGGACACAGATACAAATGTAGATAAAAAAAAAACCAGTAAATAATTAATCAAAACAAAAATAATAATAAAAAAAAAAACAGTGATGTGTGTCTCAGCGTTGGACAAAAAATAGTTATAAATAGTAATATTCTAAAAATGTAACTTAAAAACTTGGGATGACTATATAAAGTATAGTGAACAAATATCTTGGAGATTTTTTATTGGTTTAAAAGTCACTTACATTCTGTTTGTGCTCATTTAAAAAACAGATTATCACACTTATTTTCCTCTACTATTAATTCTTTTGTTAAACACATAAAATAAATTGTGATTTTCCAATCTTTTCTTAGATATTACTCAAAGTATATTCTATTCCAAAATAATTATAATACTTATGTTCTCCAATTAACAAGTATTTTTCATTACAGAATTGGAATACTGTCACTCAAACATTAATATCAAAGCAGCCTAGCCACAATAACTCAATACTGTACAGCGGACTGTTGCTTGCGCTGCAAGATGATGTCCTGGTGATGGCAGGCACTGTGTTCTCTGAGGTCATCATACATAGAGCTAGCAGGGATGAGGCGCTACACCATTTAAGAGGACATAAGGTAACGAATACCATCTTTTAATCACTGAAAATACACATACTGTTCACCAGTTATATTTCTCGTAATAGACAAAGATGCCATGATCCCAGGCTGCTCTATTAGTAGCAATAAAACTTGAAATCAGTATCTTTTAATGTTTTAAGAATAACTGAACAGTCTTTTTGAACTAATATACTTTTTTTTAGAACCAACTCATAAACATGGCTGTCTTATGTTTTCAGGGTGTAATATTCTCAATATCATACGAACCTCATAGGCACACAATAGTTACCACATCAGATGACAGGTCAGTGAGGATATGGGGTCCAAACATACCACCAACACTTGCATATGATACTGCAGAACATTGGGAAAGCATAGAAATACTTTGCAAACATGAGGTCTATGGGCATTTAGCAAGAGTCATGAGGAGTTGTATAACATATGACCTGATAGTGTCAGTAGGTGAAGACTCTGCAATATGTTACTGGGATTATAAAGGGAAGTTATTAAAAAAGTCTCTCACACATCAAAATGGCTGTATATGGTCTGTAGACAGTGATTGCACCAGTTTAGTCACTGGAGGCGGTGACAGCGGAGTTATTTTACACCCTCTCACCATAGCCACTGATTACTGTCGTGAAGATATTATTGATATCGGAGTTGACACTCCCAAAAAGATTTTATTTACTGCTAGAAACAACTTAGTTGTAATGAATGAAGCTAACTTGATCTACTATGATGCTACAAATAAGAATAAAACTGAACATAAATTGAATCATGAATCTACTTACAAATTGCTTGCTTTATCGTCTTGCAAGCAACTTATTGCTGTAGCAGACATGGCTGGCAAACTACACGTGTTTGTAGAAAAATGTAAAGATGAGGCATTTTTACTAAATATTGTTGATACTAAACTAGAAATAGGCAAGATTTTGTCCATGCATTGGGCGGGAAACAGGCATCTAGTACTTTGTTCTGGAGATGGCGATATAACTGTTCTAGCTTCTAATAATACAAGTGTAGAAGTTTATGGTAATTTTGTTCTACCAAACTGCAAAGAAAGATGGCTCACAGCCTCTGCAGTAAAACCTGAGAACAATAGATTTGTTTTTGGAGATAGATGCGGTAATATACATATTTTCGTCAAAGGTCAGAACAACCCAGTGAAGACCTTTCATAAGGTACACGGAAGATATGGACCGACTTCCATTAATGTGAAAAATAATAAGATCATTTCTACTGGAAGAGATGGGACCATCAAATTTTTCAGTTTAAATGGTGATATGGTAAAACATATGAGCAGCAAAGACTTAGCTTTTGAATGGGTCGAGAAATTCTTAGATAAAGACGAGAATATTATTTGTGGGTTTCAAGAAAGAGTTTTCGTGGTATACAATGTTAAAGAAAATAGTAAAATGTTGGAAGTAGCGTGTGGAGGTGGGCACAGGTCCTGGGATGCAGTCAGATACTTCGAGAAATTGAATGATAACTATGAAGAATTCATAAAGCTTATTTATTTGAAAAATTCAGATATCAATGTTGTAACATTCCAACTTAGTAAAATAGTTTCGCGAAATATTATAAATGGATCTCATGCTAAAGAAATTAATTGTTTGAAATCACATAGAGTTGGTGATGCTACAGTTTACATTTCTGGTGGAGAAGACACAACACTAAGAATATCCAGTGTTGATGCAGAAATGAAATTTAAAGATGAAGCTAGCTTCAAACATTTGTCTAGTGTAAGAACTTTAACAACGTTTCCCTTAAATGAAAACCATTTCTTAGTTCTATCGGCTGGAGGAAGAGCACAGCTATGCATTAAAGATATAAAATTAACCCAAGAAAATAATAAAATCAATGTAACATCAGAAGAATTAGTAGATTACTTAATAAGGGGCACAGATAAAGAAAGGAAAGGGAATCAGACATGGAGGAATTGCTCCATTGATTTTGATCCTGAAATGAGAATCATGGACATAGATTTGATAAAAGATAAAGACAGACTTATCATCTTTGCTGGTTGCTCAGATTCCTATGTAAGAGTTTTCTCGTTTAAAGAAGACAGTAAAAAGGTAGAGATTATCAAAGAAGCGAAATATCACAAGACATGTATTTTAAAAACGAAATGTATTAAAATTCTTAACAGAGACATCTTAATAACGTGTACTACAAGAAGTGAAGTGACATTATGGGATGTAACTGACATTACAGATGAAAATTTGGAACCATTTTTCAGTACGAAAACTAATAAATCAGGTATAAATAGTATTGCTACCGCCAATGTGTCTGAAGACAAGGTTCTTATAGCTACTGGGGGCGACGATAATGCTATACATATAATCGTTATAGAAATCACTATCCAAAATAATGTGACCTCTGCAAAAGTACTACATGCTTGGTCCAGTGCAAACAACCACAGCTCACAGATAACTGGACTCATTTTAGTTGACGACTATCTGATTTCTACGTCAATAGATCAGAGGATAACATTGTTTCGATGGAAATTCGATAAAGAGAGGATAGACTGCAAGTTTTTGTCGCAGTCTCATACGATGGTCAGCGATGTACAAGGCATGGACCTTTTGGATCATAGTTGGTAAGTTAACATTGTTTAGATGGAGGAAAACACTTCCTAAATTCATATTTTTATTATTTCAACTAGCTATTTTGGTGCTGTTATACTGGTAAAGGTTTTTTTTTTGAGAGGGCGGAAATCTTTAAGTTCCTTCTCTTAATCCGGGCGGGGCGAAAGGGAGTGTCAAACTTTTACTGACTAAAAACAACCCACTTTTAAAAGGAAAGCGGAGGGGAAGCCAGTAGAACCTGCTCCAGGGTGGGACACAATATTGCAGTTGACCCTTAACTTCGGGTCCAATTTTTGAGTCACAAACTGGTCATTATTCTTGTTTTCTACGCTAACAGCATTTGCCACAGAATTGGGTAGTTTCCTAGGTCACAAATACATTATTTTGACTACATCTATTCTAATAAAACGAATGTAAAATTAAGTATTATCTATATGGTCAACCATACACTCAATTAGAAAGATGGAAAAAAGTATGGTATTTGACGTCATTTGTTGCGATTTCATACAAAATCTACAGAAAAATCTCGTTTTCGACATTTCAATTCATGAAATATGTTAAGTCCCTCCATTTTGTAAGGAATCTGTATGTAATCTAGCTCAATTACACCCAATCATTAATCTAGATTATTTAAAATCTTGTAATTTCTCAAAACATTTTTGTGTGATTTGTTATTTATTTATCGCATAGATTTAATCTGTGCTGTGTAACATTTTGATACCAGCACAGTGACGCTAAGAGGTGTGTTACATTATTTCAAGTGGTCACCTGTGCTTGTTGATAACATGAACTACTTAACTCTTGGCAAGCTGCCTGAATGTTTATCAAATTGTTGATAAAAAATATCAAACTATGTTTGATCTCAAATACGATTCCAAAATTCTTTTTTCGATACTTATTTTGAAAGTCCCTTAAGACCCTTATAAAACGATGAATTATTTTTTTTGCAAATAGGCCCTAAAACGGCACTTTTACATGTCAGAATTATATATGAAAAACTAGATGCAGCCTGCATTTCTTATCTGACTATTCTGAAAAGAAATGCCGAAACCAACTCAGAGATCAGTTAAAGTGCAAACAATGTCAAAAATATAGGTATAAAATGTAGTCACAGCTTATTAGAACCACCCGGCACCCCACTCCGCACCACTCGGTGACAACTTCCTGCTGAAATGCTTGCCTTGCGTTGACTAGACAGATAGCCGCGAGCACCTAGTGCTAATTATTAACAGACTACTCAAAAGATCGTGGACCAAGCGGCGTTCATTCGTTGACTGTAGGACCATTATTGGTGAAGAGCTTCCCCCCGCGTGGTATGTTGATAAAAAGCCTATGTCCTATTCCGTAGTGTATTCTATGCCTGTGCCAAATTTCATCCATATTCGTCCAGCCGTTTTGACGTGACTGAGTAACAAACATTCAACCATACGTAACTATAATTGCATTTATAACATTACCTATAATTTTGTTGATTCCACTTTAATATTTCAGCGAATCCATAACAGTATGTGTGTATGGAAAGGGGATGGAGGTCGTAGCTGTGCCGAAGATGCCAGAGTAATCCTACTTGCTAATAGTTGCAAGCTAGAACCACGTGAGAAGAAGTGACAAACCTATAAGGTAAGAAAATTGTGATCTTTACTTTGAAGTTTTTCACCGAACTATTTATTAATGAATTCGTGGGAAATAATAATAAAAAAAAAAACGTGTTATAACAAAAAAATAAGATCGTAGAAATTAAAAAAAAGTTAGTTAAAGATGAAGAGTTTGTTTAAATGCGCATATCGCTGGAACATGTGGATCGAATTGAATGATTATTTTTGTGTTGGATAGTCTAATTATCGAAGAAGGCTATAGAAAAAAAGAAACTCGCTACGACCAATAGCAGCTGAACAGCTGGTAAACTGCGCGGTAGTAGCTAGTTTTATTTAAAACAATCATGTCACTAACTACGCTGTGGTATACAAAGCCGCATTAATTCATTTCACGCTTAATGCTAGCATTAATGAAAATATTCATTCAAAAGTAACCTCAGTTCCGTCAGTCTACCGGAAAATCTATGGAAAGGATGTTTTTATCATTTTTTGTGTTTTCTATTATATTCATACAGTTTTTTACATGTCTACGTGGGGTAAGAAAAAGTTCGTATTTTAAATAAACCACTAATTTTGACTTAAATAAAAATCTTGTATGTGTGGGAGAGCCATGCTTCAGCACGTATGGGTCCGCTCGATCGGAGTGATCGGGTGGCCTCACAGAAAACCGGTATGAAAAACGTTGTGTTTCGCTGTGTGAGTGAGGTCACCGGAGGACCAGTCCTTCCCTTCCCCGTATGTCCAAATCCCTAATCCCCAATTGGTCGGCAACGCACTCGTAACTCCTCTGTTGTTGCTGGTTTCCATGGGCGGCGCTGATTGTTCAACGTCAGGTAATCCGTCGTTTGCCGACCTATCACATAAAGAAAATCTTTATCTTATAATAATTTATATTAGAAGAACAATAAGAACAGCTATCTTTTATTTTCCAAAATTTATAGACAAGATAGGTAAACAGGTAAACCAAAAATATAGATCGAAATGTCTAGCAAAAAATCCAGTTTTTTATCACAGTAAGCTGTCAGAAAATACCACAATATCAAATAAATATTACATAGATATAATTTTATCTTAAATTTTGACAGTACTGCTACTTGCTTGCATCAGACAGCACTTAAATGCAAACCTTATCTAGTCTGCTTCCTTGACCATTTATATAATGTTTATGAGGAAAACGATGTTTTCTTGTTTCCTACTAAAGCATTTGATATGTTCAAAATGCAAATACGCCAAAGTTTTTTGATATTTCCGACAAAAATAACTTGTACGGTATTTATAAAACCCGTACAGATTAAGTTTAAAACATGATTGTTTTTTTAACGCTCAAACTCTTCCATGGAGCTCTCGTTTCAGCGTTTTCCACAGGGTACTATTTTAGGACCTACTAAATTCATTGTTCTAATTGTCACTGACCTTAAATTTATTACTTTCTTCCCTCATTTTAAGGGGGAGAGGGGCGGCCATGTTTTGGCACAAATGGGCTGTCTTGACCGAAGTGAAGCCATGGCCTTACAGCAATCGGTATGAAACAAAACTTCCGTTCTGTTTTGCCGTGTGCATAAGCTTACCACACCAAACCTTACCTCCTTCAGGCCTAATTTCCCCCTTATTAATCCTCAAATGTCTAACCTTCAAAAGACCGGCTAAGCACCCTCTAGCGTTGTAGGTGCCCATGTGTAGCGCCAATTGCTTAACATCAAGTGATCCGTCACCTTGTTTACCATCCTATCCCTACTACTACACAGCAATCACAGACCACAGTAGTCGAGTTAGGTAGATAAATGAAATTATATCACTGACATGTACCCATGTATTTCTGTTTATATTAGCAGTTGACAGGACAGTAAAGTTTAGTTAGTATGCATCACAAAATACGCACCATTAATTTTTCATCCATTTCAATGTTTTATTTATTGCATCTATTGTAAAAAGCAAAATATGCCTAAAGAATTATTAACCGAGTTTCTTTTTTGCAACGGGCGATGTCAAATAGAAGTAAGAGGGTGTATATCGGCACTTGTTATAATTAGATCTGTATTCTGTATGTAGATAAGATTAGATATATGTAACAGTATATAACAATGATAAGTTGATATAACTCGCAGTTGATTGTGCGATACTCACATCTGTGATATTATTGTGGCTTGTAAGGTACGTACATACATTTACAGCAAAGTTTTGTTTGGCTAGTTTTATAATCGCATCAAAAATGTCATGCAGTTTTAAATATTGATCATACATAGGTACAGACAGGAAAAAGTGACTTTGTTAATATGTTTTATTTTTTTATACTATAGTGATGTAGTACAGAAATAATAATCTATATTAATATTATAAAGAGGTAAAATTTGTATGTAGGGAACCGCTGGTCGGATTTCTAAAATTCTTTCACTGAAAGATAGCTACAATATTCCCGAGTGCCATAGGCTATAAAACGTCACGCTACGATCTGTAGGAGCTGAGCAGCCGGTGAAACCGCGCTAGAGTAATGTATTAATTTTATATTACAAAGAGGTAAAATTTTTAAGCTTGTAAATTTGTATGTAGGTAAGGGTGTAATCTTTGAAACAACTGGTCATATGTCACTTTTTACTTTACTACTCTAGTTTTTTGTATCTTTCATTTTTTACTTTTATTTTAGTGCTTTGTTACATTCAACTAAAAAGCAAACTTACTTATTTAATTGTACCTTTCGTTAAAATAATATTAATAGATTTACCTTTAGAATACTTTTATAACTACTCGTACCTACTTTGTATCCTAAAAATATTATGTTACTCAAAACACACTAACAAATGCACACACTCACAAAAACTATCATCTAAATCAACACAGAAAAACACATATCACTTCCATACACACACTTTACGTCTCACTCAAATAACTCACACACACAACAGAATACCACTATCACCTACTAATCACCTACATAATAACAAAAACAGACAAGTCACAAAACTTACTTATTTATTTGTACCTTTCGTTAAAATAATATTAATAGATTTACCTTTAGAATACTTTTATAACTACTCGTACCTACTTTGTATCCTAAAAATATTATGTTACTCAAAACACACTAACAAATGCACACACTCACAAAAACTATCATCTAAATCAACACAGAAAAACACATATCACTTCCATATACACACTTTACGTCTCACTCAAATAACTCACACACACAACAGAATACCACTATCACCTACTATCTACCTACATAATAACAAAAACAGACAAGTCACACCCCTCACAAACTCAAACACTTTAACACACTCGTACATGCGTGCACAATACATTCTTTCATTTAAAATCCAGATCCACGTCAAATTCGCTTCCTATCTATCTTATTACACATTCGCGACCAGCCATGTCATGACAACAACTTTCACAGTTTCTAACGTAAAACCAAAATATTATTACTTATTTCTACATAATGGCGTTAGTTGACATTATCCAAAATATTGACGAAATAACAACATTGGAATGTCATGACTTCAATCAACTAGACGAATGTAAGGAATATTGTAAGAACATTAACCAGGTAGACGGCTTAAAAATACTTTCCTTGAACATTAGAAGTTACCAGCGAAACTTTGACGACTTTACAGTAGCACTGTCAAGGCTCGAGGTAAACTTTGACGCTATTGTCTTGACCGAGTGCTGGCTAAACGAAGGCACGATACTCGAAAATATTCTAGGATATAACGTTTTTAGAACAAACACACAACAAAATAAAAATGGAGGTATAGTCATATATATAAAGAACCATCATAACGCATCTATAGTTCAAACCAGCTTACAAGACACTGACAGCCTGCTTTTAGTTTTAAACAACAGAGTGGCCTTACTAGGACTCTACCGCTCACCTTCTTTCCCTAACTTAACTAATTTCCTTGACTCATTAGATGAACTTCTCAAAACGATAAACAAATACTCAACAGTTATAATCATCGGAGACACAAACATTGATATAATTAACACCACCAACAACAAACATCACGATTACATGTCCCTCATGGCATCGTACTCTCTGCTGCCAGCTATTACAAAACCGACCAGAGACAAATCGTGCATCGACCACATATACATTAAATGTAATACAAAATCGATAGGCATCACCTGCAAAAGCTCTATTACAGATCACGACATGGTTATAGCCCACTTACCCTCCAACAGTACCGCCAGGAAAAAAAACAACCCCTGGAAACTTAAAACTAACGAAGAGAACATAGCCTTGGAACTAGCTGAACATGACTGGTCTGACATTTTGAATCAAAACTGCGCGAGCGCAGCAGCAACTTTACTCACGAAAACACTCACAGCACTAATAGAAAAACACACAGACAAAATCAAAATACCGCGAAGTAAACTTAATCTACAACCTTGGATAACGCCTGGGCTTATAAGGTGTATTAAACACCGAGACAATCTTCATCTGTCTCTGAGGTCTGATCCAGAAAATATGTCCAAAAAGCTAATATACACTCGATACAGAAATTTCTGCAACGAACTTTTAAGAAAAATTAGAACTGACTATGACAACCGACAAATACAAGAAAACAATAAAAACCCGCAAATGCTGTGGAAAGTGTTAAAATCTATTTACGACCCCAGCGCTAAAAAAAATGGCATGCCCAGCGTAACATCCAACTCTACAGATCTCATCGACTCCCTTAACAAATACAATGCCTATTTCACAACCGTAGGAAAAAATTTAGCCGATACCATACTCACGAGAATATCTGAAACACAAGAATCCCTAACTAGCAAATATACGCCACATAAACCCTCACCCAACACATTCTTTCTTCACCCCACCGACGAAAGAGAAATAACCAATTTTATCAGCCAACTAAAAAACGACAGCAGCCCCGGACCCGACAAAATTGGTGTGAGACTCCTGAAAAAAATACAAAATACCATTATAGCTCCCTTAACACATATAATTAACCTCAGCCTAGAAACTGGTGTATTTCCTGAACAATGGAAGGTCGCTGCTGTAAGTCCTATCCATAAAGGAGGACCCACAGATAAACCAGAAAACTACAGACCGATTGCACTCCTTAGTATAATATCAAAAATCCTCGAAAAAGTTGTAAATACACGTTTAGTCAACTTTCTAGAAAAGAACCACCTCATTTCAAACAGACAGTTTGGCTTTAGAAAAAGGAAGTCAACTGAAGATGCCACATTACTACTTACAAATAAAATATCAGATTGTGTCGAAAGGGGGGATAGATGCATGGCGGTATTTTTAGATCTAGCTAAAGCGTTCGACACAATCTCAACCGCTCTTCTCCTCAGAAAACTAGACTCATTTGGTATTAGAGGCAAACCGCTAGAATGGTTTTACAGCTATTTAACAAACCGCAGCCAATATGTCAAATCTGAGGGGTATACCAGTAATAAACTCCCCATCAACTTTGGAGTACCCCAAGGTAGTCTATTGGGCCCCACACTCTTCGTAATCTATATGAACGACATACTTAATCTTAACCTTCCGAATGCAGAGTTAATATCTTACCCTGACGACACTGTCGTAATTTTCCATTCCAAAACCTGGGAACGCCTATTCAATTTAGCCGAGGAAGGTCTCGCAACAGTGGCAGAAACTCTAAACCACAACCTGCTTACACTAAACGTTAAAAAAACCAAGCTTCTTACATTCTTCAAAACCACAACATCCAGTCCACCTCCCAATCTATCACTTAAATTCCATACATGCTCCCCACACAAATCAAGAGAAAACTGTTCATGTGAGCGTATACAACGAATCCAATCCATTCGCTACTTAGGCCTCCTCATCGACGAAAATCTCTCCTACAAAGCACACATTCAACATTTATCAGGTCGAGTCAGAAAACTCATATACATTATGAAGAAACTCAGAGACCGCACACCAAAGGATACACTGCTCATGGTATATTACGCGATATGCCAGTCAATTATTCAATACGGCATATCTACTTGGGGAGGAGCGGGAAAAACCACACTCATAGACCTTGAAAGAGCCCAAAGGGCAGTGATCAAAGTTATCCTTAAGAGGCCAAGGCTCTATCCAACAGACACCCTATACAAAGAATTTGGAGTTCTGCGTGTCCGTCAACTATTTATCCTCAATGCATACTTACACGCCCAAAGATCCCTGAAAGGAAGACCAGATTACAATGCACTCACGTCAAAACGTATATTCAAAATCCCAATACCACGCACGACTTCCCTCTTAACCAGACGATGCCCTTCCTATCTCCACACAACTGTCTTCAACAACGTTCACCGCAGGTTACCAATTGACACAAATGAGCTGTCACTTTCCTCATGTAAGAGGATACTAAAAAAATGGTTAAAAGAACTTTCGTACGAAGAGACAGAAAATATTCTCACAACACAATCTACACTCGAAAGGACGCACTAACACCCCCCGCGCGCCCACACACGCTCTCTCACACACACACAAACACACACACACACACACACACACACACACAAACACACACACACACACAAACACACACACACACAAGTATCAAGCTGAGACTGATAGATAAGCTAAGCTCGAATAAATTTAAAAATTCTTGAATTATAATTTCTTTTTTCTTTCAATGTCTAGAAGGAGACAATATTTATTTAAAAAACGTTTAAATTACCTAGTTTAATATTAAGTTTTTTTATTTGTATTTTATAGAATGTTTTGTTTAAGTTTTTATTTCTGTCCACAACAAATGCACCACACACGTCCCGACCGACTTTTCTACTAAGGTTCTTTGGTAACCACAACTCGGGACCCCAAGATACAGGCCTTGCCTAGTTTGGGGACCGCCGTTCCAAAAAGCAATGTCCGCTACAACACCAAGTTACAACAAATAATTGTACCTAATAGTAACTAACTTTAAGGCAAACTTTATGTAACTGTGGATAAATAAATTTTATTATTATTATTATTATTACTGGTCGGATTGCCAAAATTCTTTCACTGATAGATAGCTACAATGTTCCTGAGTGCTAAAGTCTGTAAAACATGACGCTACAATCAAATGGGGCCTGAGCAGCGGGTGATCTGTTTTTTTTTTGGCGACTACATAACATCTTATAGGTGCTTGTATGTCTGCTTCCTATAAATCTTAAGTGATAAGTTCCCAGCCTACTGCTCTTTTTTTTTAATAGGGCAAAGCATGCCTTATTCCTTTTAAAAACAAAAAAAAACTTAAGATATGGTAATCTTTAAGAGCTTAGTAACATAACTAAGAGACTGTCTGTCTATCTCACCGTCTCACTATCTGATCTTGACAACCGTTATCTAGAATTCCTCATGAATCGAGATCCCATACACATATCGTATCTTTGGAAAACCCTCCATGGCAGATTGATGTTACATCACCATAGATAACATATATTTTTCGTTATTTTTCCTGCTTGCTATAATAATACCTAATAAAAAAGAGTAACGATGGTGTTTCTAGATTTTTCTTATCCATTCGAATCTACAAATTGGAATGAGCACCTAGCTTCATTGACGAACAGACTGACAGACTATTATTCTATTTTGACGTTTGAAAAGAACCTGTTTATTTAGTTGGAATAAATGATTTTAACTTTAACTTTGAATCTTCTAATTTTATTGACTTTTCAAGGTTTATTCTACCAATTTATTTTCGTTACTTTGCTACCATTATCATAAGAAAAATTTTGAAACCAAAAGCAGTGTATTCTATACACAATTTTAACCTGCCTCTACGCCAACGCGTTAGATATTCGCTTATGAGGCACACATTGATGACGCATAGTTTTTTTGGGTATCGACTAGACAAAAACTAAATAATGAGCGTATGGAATACAGTGTCGTCAAGGTAAGAGTCTAGCTTTAGCTCCAGTTGCACAAAAACAGCAATACATTGAAGAATGTATTAAATAGAGTAACTGACAACAAAATTGGATTTTATTTTGGTATTTTTAAAAGTATGTACTCGTTTATTTGTTTTTCAAATTCATACTTAAACCTATAAAAACACAATTTCCAGTGTGATTTTCTAATGAAATCATAATGACATCAGATTTCTTCTTAAATCATTAACGGGAGGGGAAATCCTCAGCAATATAATATATGTTTCCGGGGTCATAAAGTTATGTAAGTAGTATAACTCTAATATTCTTCGAATCCAGTTTTCATATACGTGTTTGTACGATTGAGGTTGCCCCATTCTGGTAAAGTTATTGTAACTTTACGCTCGATTTCTCTTCACTAGTAACCTGTAAATAACTGATAGGTAAGAACCTACCTATTACTTAACTTTAATTATATTTTATTAGTATTCCATTCTGCTTGGAAACAAGTTAGTTAACCTTATAAGGATTCTCTAACGTGGTGGTTTGCGTTCAACAATTTCATCGGACCGGTTTCTGAGAGACGCAAGTGAGTTTGATAATTTTTATTCTTCATTACTAGGTATATTTCTTTGAAATTTAAACCTGTAGCTTACTAATTTTCTGTTTCCACAGTAGGTATAGATGTCTGATGGTTTTTTTTGTATTCGTACTTCATCAATGGGTAGTTTCCTTGGTCAAAAATAAATTAATTCGACTTATCAATACAATAAAATATTGAAAAATAATTAAGTATACTTTTATTCATCGATCGATCTATACACTAAGTTTTAGATTTCTTTAGCTAATTATTAAGTAATAAGTCAGCTATTTGACGCAAACATTTTATGTATTTATTATATTACTTATAATAATACCTAACTCAGTTTTTCATACAAATTTCACTGAAAAGTATCGTTTTTGACGTTTGGATGTAAAAGTATTGAATTTGACTACAACGGACGGAAACAACCGTATTATATACATATAAACATCTTTATTAAATATACGTTCTCGTTATAAATTAAATTTCCCCTACATATAGGTCATCGTTTTAGGTATCGAATAGAAGTAAGCAAAAAAAGTTCGGTTCGGTTTCGGAGTTCGGTAAACGATTAGACTGATTACCTAATGGTAGGTAAGCAATCGACGCCCCCCATGGACATTTGTAATAACTAAAGGAGTTATTACAAGTGCGTTGCCGGCCTTTTGTGAGTTAAGTATTGAGGATTTGGAAGTTGAAGATGTGGGGAAGGATTGTGCATCCGGTAACCTCAATCACACGACTATAATTATTGTTGTTTTTCTGTGAGACCATAGACCTACTCCAGTCGTGCCGGCACATTTTCGCCGAACACGGTTGTTGTTTTGATTAAAGATATTTTTTGTTTAAATTAATAACTGGTCTGCTATATACGGACGTCATGATAAAAGTGGGTGTGTCATACACTGCTTACACACTAGAGGAATTCGTGCGTATATATATGTATGTATTAGTCAGTTGTTTACAAAACATTAGATGGTTCATCACTTCTGGTTTTCTAAGGAAGTTTCTTCAAACCTCTGCGTCTCGCTTTATGACGCGATTGCTGGTTTCCCCGAGCGAGGATTGTGGTCAACAAAAACTTGGTTCATCATGATATATATGAGGGTGACTATACGACGTTTGACAGTCATATTAAGCTTTGACGGAATACAAGACATATAAATATATAGATATAGGTACAGTGTAAGCGTTTCCAAAATTCAGAAAATGTTTTTACACAATAATACTTTACCGTTTTTAACCAACGTTCTCGTTTTGGCGTTGTCTTCTTACAAACCGGTGATTGTTTTTGTTTTCTTTTTTTAGTACCAAATACGTTTCATTTGGAATTTTGTGGTATAAGTTACCTGTATTAGAATGTAATTATTATCTATTTTGGGCGCATTTCAGTGTGGGCAGGCAATGTTTTTTGTAACGTCGAATTCGTATACTAGGGACACTATGGCCCTCTTTTACCAAAACACTAAGCAGGCGTCCTCGACGCAAAAACAAAGCACATAAGAAATACTTAAGTACAAATAATAAAGTTTTATATAAATTAGTCACGAGAAAAAGGCCCATTCCTTTTTTTATCTGATAGGATAGGTAAGCAATCAGCGCCGTCCATGGACACCCGCAAGGAAGGAGTTACAAGTGCGTTGCCCCGGTTGCCCGTTGTGCGTGACCTTTTGAGAATTAGGGATTTGGAATTTTGGGATTGGGGGAGGGGAAGCGATTGGGCCTCCAGTAACCTCAGTCACACGACGAAACACAACGCTATGATTGTTTCACGCCGGTTTTGTGTGAGGCCGTGGTACCACTCCGGTCGAGCCGACCCATCCTTGCCGGAGCATGGCTCTCCGACATTAAGATATCTGTTGTTAAATAATATACCATTTAATTCCAGATGGCGCCAGAATTGAAAGCAGTGACAGATCCAGTCACTTTGGGCGAGGGTCCACACTGGGACCATGAGGAGCAGGCCCTTTACTTCGTCAGCATTTTCGACTTCACCATCAACAAGTACGTTCCCGAGACAGGCAAACACACCAAGGCCAAACTAGGTAAGTTTATTAATAAGTACGTAGGAAGTACATATTTATTTTCAAATTTGTCTTATGTTAAAGGGCTTTCAGTGTTCGTAAATAGATCAGATCAGAACAGACATTTTTGAGAGGGAAAAATCAAAGGACTTCTTCTTCTCCTTTCCTCGACCAAGGTGAGGTGAGAGGGAATGTCAGATTCTTACTGACTAAAAACACCCCAAGTTCCTTGTCCTGCTCTAAGCCGAGGCCGCGGTACCTTGTTGCCCCGCCTATGCTGAACTGTACAGATTTAGTTCCTAACAAAAACTGCCATATTCATTCCAGATGGTCAACCAACCTTCATCATCCCGATAGAGGGCAAGAAGCACCACTTCGCCATCAGTCTTAACCGCAAGGTGGTAGAGATCGAGTGGAATGGTGAGGAAAACTCTGCGAAGGTGGTCAGGACCATCGCCGAGGTTGACCAGGACAACCCTAAGAACAGGTTCAATGATGCCAAGGCAGATCCTAAGGGGAGACTCTTTGCTGGTAAGTTGATGACTATCATCCTTTATCATTCCCAACATTAATCATCATCCATCCTTTTAATTTACACCTTTTTGAACCATTTTATTCCATAACTTTTCACTGTATAAAACCCCACAGTTGTATGATATGACTAAATAGGAAATAACTATAGTCCAAAGCTCCATTTCGCGCCGTTTTTCACTGGTTTTAGGCAATTGTTAGGGCACGTTCATCGTAGAGTTCACGAAGATTTCACTTAATAACAGTTGCAGTAAATAACCATATGGCGAAACACAACGCATGTGAGTAAAGTTACCGGAGGACCAGGCCCAATCCGTCCCCTATTCCTCCCCAATCCCCAAATCCCTAAACCCCTTATCCCCAAAAGGTCACAACAACGCTCTTGCAATTCCTCTAGAGTTGCGGGTGTCCATGAGCGGAGCCGAGTGCTTACCATCCATCCATACCTTTGCCGTCTTATCTCATAAAACAAAAAACTCTTATCATAAGCCAACAACCTTCTTCAATATTATTTGATATTTCTTTTCAAGGTACAATGGGTCATGAATACGCTCCAGGCAAGTTTGACCTGAAGAAGGGTTCCCTGTACCGCATAGACCCGGACGGCAGCACCCACAAGCTGGCGACTGACATTGACATCTCCAACGGTTTGTGCTGGGACCTGGAAGAGAAGGCTTTCTACTTTGCTGACTCGTTCGAGTACACCATCCGGAGATACGATTATGATGTGAAAACTGGCAACATCTGTGAGTATTTTATTAAAATCATTATTATATCAGCAAAAAGACCAAGACCACAGATGAACATGTTTTTTTTTTATTTTGCCACTATACAATACACAATGACAGTTATATCATTTTGTTTCAGAATATATTAAAATGTGCTATCAGACTTTTATCAATTTACTTGTCCAGTTCAGTTAATTTATAGTTCTCCTAATTCGACAGAATCTTAGACTTCCTTCTACCCAAATGAGTTTCAGATCGACAAATTGGCAGCAACCTGCAGTAGGTCGACTCTCCAACTGATCTGAACGTATTTCCATAATATTATTGATTGTATGGTTGGCGTAGTGGCTCAACAATTCGAAAGTGCTTGTTTGATTCCCGTATAGTAGACTCTGTAGAATCTTGATAGATTTCCAAAACTTAAGATCAAAACCAGATAAGTTAATAAAAATTGTTTTATTATTGAGGAGACACTCCTGTTGTTGATTGCAATCCATAAAGTTTAACCCGTGATATACGCAGTGAGCGCAGATCCACACGAGACACAATGTGTTTTCTATTTTTTGTCATATACCGGCAGACAAGATGTTAATCTAAAATATTGTGTTATTATTTCCAGCGAACCCAAGGAATGTTTTTGCGTACAAGGACCACCAGTTGGAAGGCATCGTTGATGGCATGACCATCGACACCGACGGTAACCTGTGGGTCGCCAACTTCGACGGCAATCGGGTAAATATTATTGATATATTTATACTGGTCAGTAAGGCACTCAATTTAAAATTCAGTTTATTGAAAGCAGCGACTTACTCAAGTGGAGAAAGCTCTATAAGTTTGTTAGTCACAATGGAATTATGTCACAGTTAATTCAAGTAAGTCGATATTCTAATTTATTTAGAAATTCGAAAATGCGTCTGTTTATATATTTGTCTGCTCATAATCTCAATATCATTCTCCTTCAAACCTTCAAGAAACGAGCGTATGTCTTCTTAAAAGACCGACAACGCGCCTGTGACTCCTCTGCAGCAGGTGTCTATGGGCTAATCACTTACCATCAGGTGATCCGGCTACTCGTCTGCCTCCTATTTCACAAAAAAATACAATCGATTGATTGTTTTTATTCCAGGTACTGAAAATTGACCCCAAAAAGGGACAACTGCTTGAGAAGATCCCGATCCCAGCGCTGCAGGTGACGTCAGCTACCTTTGGAGGGCCAGCGCTGGACGTCCTGTACGTCACCTCGGCCTGCATGAACAGAGGACAGGAACAGCTTCCACCTGCAGGCTCTACCTTCAAACTCACCGGCCTCAACGCCAAGGGACACCCCAATAACTATGTCAGATTCGAATAAATTATTCCTTTTAATTTATTATTTGGTTGTTATTTTTGTACTTTTGCCTATGAGTTGTGATCTAATGAGCCCGACAGAGTACCGGAATATATGATACCAGGTTCCCGTATTGAACTATTGCATCTAGAGAAAAATTTGTTAGTTAGCACCTACACACTTTCTTCTTGAGTGATAATTATTTAATTTTTTCTAACAGAAACCTTTTTGTGAGGGGAAAATCATCAAATGACATCTCTCACCCATGGTAAGGCGGAGGGAGTTTCAGACTCTTGTGACTAAAAACCGTTCCTTCTCCTGCTTAAGGCAGTCCTTCTGCAACTTCTATTAAATCAAAATACTTGTCAAAACCTTTTTGAGTTTTCGAGACAACAAGTAAGTACAGTACGGCTGACGTATCTTGGCGAGTCTGGAGTTAGCCGTTTGTCTGCGCAATGGATCTTTTAGGAACAAAATTGTGTACTGCGCAGCTAATTCAAGTGTGGGTTCAACTCAAGTGTGGGAGAGCCATGCTTCGGCACGAATGGGTCGGCTCGACCGGAGTGATACCACGGCCTCACAGAAAACCGGCGTGAAATAACCACTGCGTTGTGTTTCGCCGTATGAGTGAGGTTACCAGAGGCCCAATCCTTCCCCTTCCCCAATCCCTCCTCAATCCCTAAATCTCCAAATCCCTAATCCCTAAAAGTTCGGCAACGCACTTGTAACTCCTCCGTTGCGAGTGTCCATGGGCGGCGCTGATTGCTTACCATCAGGTAATCCGTCTGCTCGTTTGCCGACCTATCACATAAAAAAAAAATTGGTTATCTTCAGACTCGCCAAGATACGTTGGCGGTATTGTATAAGGAACTTCAGTGTTATTGTTGAACACTGAAGTTCTCCATGCTCATTATATTCTTACCTCTGAAGTGAATATTTTGATTTGCCCAAAAATATATGAAAGAAGTACAAAAATACATTATGTAAATAATATTCTTTATTTAAAAGTCATATAAACAATTAATTCATTAAAGCATTAAAAATATTTTTTATATAGGTAACATTATTTTAATAAACATTCAGTCTAATATCGTTCTCTTTGTCATTTTTGTTTATCATAATTTTATTGTAAACATTATAATCGTTTTAGATAAGCTTGTAAAATTGTAAATAAGCTTATATAGTTAATAATTCACTAAATTACATATAGGTATTCTTATAAATGTTAAATAGTTAAAGCTTAAAGTTAACATTAGGGAATCCTTTGACTCCCAGTCCGGTGACCATGAAGGTGGACCCACAAGGGGGATCTTGGGGTCCACGAATGTTGAGACTAGCAGTCGTAACAAACAATATGTCGTAGTTGGGACCCCCAAAAGTGGCCGAGGTCACTTGCAACGCTGGGATGGGGACTTTCTGTAGCAGCTCCCCACTTCTGGGATTAATTTTGAGTATGCAGGAGCCGTCAAAGACAGCCACCCACAAGTTACCGTCAGTATCGATGGTTGTGCCATCAGGAACACCTTCGATCTTGTTCTTTTCGAAATCAAAGATGTACTTGACGTTGGCTGAAACAATAATTTCGTTATAAATATCTGTTTATATAAAAAAATCTGAATTAAATTTATAGAACATTTGTAATTAGCCCGCAGCTGAATAAACAAAATAAGATACTATTGGCAAAAATGTGGCACTTTAACATAACAGTCAGGAGACAGGAGTTGTCTAAAATTCGCCAAAACCTTAATCAAATATCAACTCACAAATCTCTCCTGTATCCACATCATAATCGTATCTCCTGATATTCTTCTCGAGGGAGTCAGTGTAGTACATGGCCTTCTCCCGGAGGTCCCAGGCCAGGCCGTTGGAGATGCTGACCTGGCTGACTACCTTGGTCACCTTGCCTCCATCCAATCGGAACAGGCTGCCTTTGTTCATGTTGAAGTTCCCTGGAGGATCTTCGTGGCCCATTGTTCCTGAAGACGGTAATACTTCGATGCATTTCTTGTATAAATTTGTAAATTTATAAATATTATATTTACAGTTTCGAAACATCCTTGAAGAGTTTACATGACTTTGTCATTATCTCTTTATATAACTTATGTCTCGTGTCCCTATAGTCATGAGAACGCTTGACCTATGCTTTGAAGACATTAATTAATATCTTTGCTAAGCAGTTTGTTCTGTCAGGTATTCTGAGGCTAAGCAAAGGCAATTAATAGGTCCATATTTTCACCATTTAAGTTTTTCGTCTCCTTCTTAAACTGATGCTTTTAGGACAGTTCCGAGGGATGGAATAAGTTAATATTTGTACATGAAATCTTCGATATCTGACCTGCAAACACTCTGCCCTTGGGATCAGCTTTGCCATCGTTGATTCTGTTGGTGGGTACGTCATTGTCCACCTCTCCAAGCTCCTTGACCACTGTTGCTGGGCTCCCATCAGCCCCATCCCACCTGATCACTTGGAACTTGCGCTCTACGCCCACCAGGAACTGATCAGTGGTGCCCTCTACCGGGACTATGAAGCCGACACGACCACCTGCAAGGTTTAGAAGAATTTATAAGCCATGAGTAAATAAATGACATGAAAAGAATGGAGTTGAATTTGCGACAACAGAAAATTCGTCGTTTTCAAGATATTGAATACCTGAATTGCACTCTCAATAAGTTCTCAGTTAATTGTTTAAAGAGCTTTGATGATCATGTCTGGAGATACATGGCTACCAAACCTATCGTCTGGTGGTACGATGGTGGAAAGGACTAAGAGGAACCAAGTCTTGCAGTTCCCTGCATACTCGAAATGTATCCGATAAAAACCAAAAGGCTTGCAACTGTCCACCTGTGTCAACTTTTAGTCGGGCCTCCATTAGCTCATCGTCGTTGATGCCGAAAGCACTTGATATGTCTAGCTAGTCGAACCGTCCCAAAGATGACAGCAGTACTCCAGGACTGAACATGCGCTATAGATTGCATGCAATATTTATTTTAACAATGCGGTAGTTTCCTAGGTCAAAAATAAATTAATTCGACGTTTCAATAAAATAAAATATTGAAAAATAACTACTTTTATTCATCGATACACGAAGTTTTAGATTTTTTTAGCTAATTATTGAGAAATAAGTCAGCTATTTGACGCAAAAATGTTATGACGTAATAACTCAGTTTTTACACATATTTCATAGAAAAGTATAGTTTTTGACGTTTGAATAAAAGTATTGAATTTGACTAGTTGGAAACTATCGTATTGTGCCAATGCGAAATACCGTCCTAATATCGACAAGATGCTTAACTCCCTGGGATTTTTCGACAGATGGAGAGGCTAACACGTTTTGGCCAGTGATGTACCATGCTTCGGATGACCCTCCACGACAAGCGGCGACTGGCGACCACTGGCGCTTGTTGCAGTAAAACGACCATTCTCATCCTCTCATACGGCATAACCCAGCATCGTTACAGGACTCTAGGTACTAGGTCGTTTGGCGACATGGTTGCTCGTAGATGGGTGGTCATGAGGCCCTTGGCCGATGTCTACTACCAAAGTTTCACCTGATTAGCACTACCTGTAAGGAAGCTAGGTACGTGTAGGGAGTATAATTTAGGAGTGCCCTCTCCCATGGACGAGGGTGACCGGGCCGCAAATCCTTATTATATCCAAACAATGAGTTTAAATGTAACATTCAATTGATACAATATTAACTTGGTAGCTTACCAACTTTAGTCTTCGTGTGCACTCCAGTGGAAGGCACGTATTTGTGGATGGTGTGTTCCTGTATGCTGACGAGGAACAGCGCCTGTTGCTTCTCGTCCCAGTGTGGACCCTCGCCCAGCAGCAGTGGCTCCGTGATCTTCTGGACTTTTACCGACATCTGCTCAAATCGTGGAGGAAATTATATTAGATAGACACATCGTTTAACATGGTAGGTACTTACATATTAGCGGGCTACACGCTCTAAATACCCAAGTACCTATACAGATTTGTTTAACAATCGGACAAATCTCAATATATGTATAATACTTCGGCCGACCATGACCCCTTGTTTGACTGACAGATAATAAGAAAATCGAATTAAAACTACAGTGACTAGAAATGCAAGTCCGACTTGGAATAGTAAAAGGCATCACAATCAAATAACGATTATATTTTTGTTCATCTTTATTTTACTGTTCCTCGTGTAAAATGTACGCAAGTATATACTTAGTATTTTTTCTTCTCTTTTTCATATTTTATATAGTTTGTAATCGTAATACAATGGCTGAATAGTGCATGTCATGGCAGTTAAAAAATATTTCGTATTTGATTTTATTATTAGTTAGGTTTTACGCACGGTTAGGTACGTCCTACGTAAGGTCTTACACACAAATATTACAACTATTAACTATACAAGTACCTCTCAGTTGCCATAAAAAAATATATACTTACTACATATTGCCAAAATTAAATCAAAAAATTCAATGCTGTTAAATTTGAATTTTATTACCGCACCGGCAACACAGACGAAATCAGTATGGAGCAACTGTAATATTTTTTTGTTCATGCATAACAAAAACAGATAACACGCTTGGAAATATCTGATAAAACGACACCTATACAATTAATACTACTACTATAGTTTAAGTTTGTAGTAGGTAACTATTATTTTCATGTAAAGAGCAATTGATTTTATCTTGTAAACTTCATAGATACTTAAGTAGGGACCTACTTATAAATATTTATGATTACTTATTTTGAATTAGGTACCCACTAATTATATCTTCAAATGATATATGTGCTTACTTACTTACACTTAAAATTATTTCTAGGTACTGAAAGATAATAAAAAGCTTTTGTTACGCATAAAATTAACTTTTAAAATACTTAATTAGTTTAACACGACTTATTTCATGGATATCTAAGTACCTAGAGTACAACCAGTGAACCATGCACAGTTTAGATTAGAATAATTAATCACACAATAACTAGCAACATCCACGTACCTTACACCGCGGGAGTCTCTCGGCAAATAACGCCGGCTGCAATACACAAACAATTATATCTAAATCTTCACAGTTGTCGACGTTATGATTACTAAAACTGCGTGCGTTTCGGATGTGGTAGGCTCGCTACCGACTCAAACAACTAGCTTATTGATACTACATACGATAACAAGCACTTGTTTCCACAAGGTCAACCGATTGTCCCCCTTGCCTTAGTAAAACGTCTGTAAAGATGCACTCATTACGAGATCTGTCCCTATTAAAGAGCTGTTTTATTCATCATAGACTGCGTACTATTTCACAATAAAACCTCTATGCTGTTTTACTCGTGGTTCGATAAGAATTTTAAACTATGGGATTATTATAGGTGCCTATTATTCACTTGTTTGTGCACTACAAATCGCATCGCATTTGTAAACGAATTATCTAGTAGGTAGATTTAAATACCTACGTAAATCAAGTTGGATTAAGGAATTTATTAAAATACAGACAATTAAATATTTAAACAAACATTATTTTTTACTTATATTGTGTCCAATAAGTAGTGAGTCTTTTTAATGTTTAAATTAAAATTGTTCACTAACTTCACCATAGAAGTTTGAGGTTATTCACCTGTCAAACACAGCACAGACAGCCACCGGTAATCACAAATAACCATTGTTAATTTAGTCGATCGCGGCCTCAATATCTCTCCAATACTTCAACAAGTAAAATGAATATACAGAGGCAAGCCACGACTTCCATTATTGTTTTTCTTTTATTAGCAAAATAATTAGGTTTGTATTCTGCGACTATCTGTAGTTTTCTCGAGCTTAAACTACTATAATCATTACATTATTTAGGAGGGAAAAAGTCCCAATTTTGAATACATAATATGGCGCCTTGCTGGTGTAGGTAAATACTTCGGGCAGGCATTCGTGTCGGGAAATAAGGTCCTAAGCACGGCAAGCCGAGATCGCTGTTATAGCAGCGGCAAGATCTCTGTTTGAGGAGTAGCTTGAAAGACGCCATGGCGTTCTCACCTCCTGCCTGAGGCGGAAGCTTCGGTAGGTACCTGTTTCGAATCCAGCGGGTAATTATGGCCGGGTGTTGGCATCGTGAGGTCTGCCCGGAGAACATGGTGGCGGAGTGTACTTCGTAGGCTAAGTACTGTCATGTATCTACCTAGTGAAGTTATCGGCGCAATGGAGACCTTTATTTGCGTATGTTTGGGTTGAAGTACGGGCAGTAGTTTCTGAAATCGATCCTTCCTATATAAACACTTTATTTGTCGAATACCTACAGCTTTAAATGTGGGAGAGCTCAGCTTCGGCACGAATGGGTCGGCATGACCGTAGTGATACGACACGAGTGATGTGACACGGTCTCACAGAAAACTTATAAGTGTAAGTGAGGTTACCGGAGGTCCAATCCTTACCCTCCCCTATCCCTCCTTAATCGTTAAAACTCCGAAACCCTAATCTCCAAAAGACCGGCAACGCACTTACTCACATAACTGCTCTGGTGTTGCGGACGGCGCCGTTTGCTTACCATCTGGCCAATTGCCGACAGATCACATAAAATAAAACGGGTATTTAAAATCGAAGTTAATAAGGTTAAGTAAGAACTTTGTTAGAACCCGATACACCATCCAGCTGTCTTCATTACTTGTATAGGTATAGGACAACGTTTGCTACATTCTTTCTGCCAAGGTGGGGATCCAGCTAAGAGGCTGCTAGCCTGGAACGAGGCTGTGTAGGTACCCCCATTCTGACTCTGACGGTCGGATTTTACAGACCACACACTTCAGGTAACGTCAAAAACAGAATTAATTTATAGCCTAGGAGACAGTCCGGGCGTCGGGGACCGCGTGACGACCTCTGTCCACCGTAAAAACAGGTTGCTTTGCGGTACGACAAGTAGCGCGCTTCAAAGAGCCAATACACCAGCAAAGATGGGACTCAACATGGCAGAATAAATTCAGCGGCGGTTGTGAGTCAAGCACCGGGTGGTTTTTAGTCATTATGAGTCTGACACTCCATCTCGCCTATGAAGCAAACAACCCGGGTTATTCCCTTCATGATCTTATGGTCGGAAGCAGTAACTTAAAGATTTTCCCATTCCAAAAACAAAAGAACCAAAGCGGTAGAAATATATTACAATAATTTAAAAATAGAAATAAGTAAATTATTCATAAACAATATTCTTTATTTCATCGAACCGTTTATATATTTTTATAAAGTTTTATTATTAAACATTCAGTCTAATATCGGTCTCCTTATCATTTTGGTTTAACATAATTTTATTTCAAATTTCACAATACACAATAATCGTTTTGAGAAGCTTGTTAAATTGTTAATAATTAAAGCTTAAAGTTAACATTGGGGAATCCTTTGACACCCAGTCCGGTGACCATGAATATGGACCCACAGGGGGGATTTTGGGGTCCACGAATGTTGAGACTTGCAGTCGTAACAAACAATATGTCGTAATTGGGACCCCCAAAAGTGACCGAGGTCACTTGCAACGCTGGGATCGAGACCTTCTGTAGCAGCTCTCCACTTCTGGGATTAATTTTGAGGACGCAGGAGCCGTCAAAGACAGCCACCCACAAGTTACCGTCAGTATCGATGGTTGTGCCATCAGGAAACCCTTCTATCTTGTTCTTTTCGAAATCGAAGATGTATTTGACGTTAGCTGAAACAATATTATCTCAATTAAGTAATATCTGTGTAGTGTCTATGGCTTTAAATATCCATGAAAAATTAGGCACATGAACATTAAAGTAAGTGTAAGGAATAAAGAAGCGATAAAAGACTCAAAACTTTAATCAAATATCAACTCACAAATCTCTCCAGTTTCCACATCATAATCGTATCTCCTGATATTCTTCTCGAGGGAGTCAGTGTAGTAGGTACATGGCCTTCTCCCGGAGGTCCCAGGCCAGGCCGTTGGAGATGCTGACCTGGCTGACTACCTTGGTCACCTTGCCTCCTTCTAATCGGAACAGGTTGCCTCTGTTCATGGTGAAGTTGCCTGGAGGATCTTCGTGGCCCATTGTTCCTGTGAGAGGTAATACTTCGATGAATAATATGATCATATGCTACATATCGTTGCACCGATTTATCAGGGTATTCTGTTTTTATGTGATACATAGGCAAACGAGCACACGGATTAACTGATGGTAAGCAACCAGCGCAACCCAAAGACAACAACAGAGAAGTTACGAGTGCACTGCCGACCTTTTTGGGATTACGGATTTGGAGATTTAGGGATTAGGGAGGGACCGGGGAGGGGAAGATTGGGCCTCCGGTAACCTTACTCACACGGCAAAATACAACGTTGTGGTTATTTGACGACGGTTTTCTGTGAGGAATATAAAAAGATTATGGCTTAGTCATGTAAACTTTTCAAGGACACTCGTAGTCAAAAATAGGTTCTCCTTTTTCCTTTCACCCAAGAAACAAGAAATAATGTAGGAGAGCTAAGCTTTGGCACGAATGGGTCGGCTCAACCGAAGTAATCCACGACCTTACAGAAAAACAGCGTGAAACCACAGTGTTGTGTTTTATCATGTTCTTCAAAAAGGGAGACAAAACTTCTTCGAAGAACTATTTCACGTCCATTAGCTGTTTTCCAAAGTGATCACGAACCGTCTCGCGCGAAGGCTCGATGAGTTTCAGCCCCCTCAAATGGCGGTTCCGAGGGGGAAATGGCACCGTGGACCACATACAGTGAGGTAGATTGTACAAAAAACTGAAGATATAATCTGCCCTTATACCTGGCGTTTGAGGACTATGAAAAAGCCTTTGACTTCATTGAAATCGGGGCTGTTCTGGAGTTCTTGCAACGGTGCCAAGTCGACTGGCGATATGTCCAAGTGTTTAGAGATCTGTATGATGCTGCAAATATGGTCGCTCAAGTACAGAACCAGCGGTCTGAACCTATGCACCTGCTTCGGCAAATTGTTCGCTAATGATTAGGGAGATATGCTCGACACGCTGGGTTGGAAAGGGCGGGGCTTAAATATTAATGGTAGGTAGGTATCTTTCACAATGTCACCTTTCGAGATTGTTCAAGAGTACGTCTGCCTTGGACAAACGATACAGTTCGGTAAAAACAACTCCGAGGGAGGCTCGTAGAAGACTAAAACTTGGTTGGGTGTTCTCGTCTGAAGACAGTCTTCGATTTTTCACTATCTTTGAAAGACAGAGACTACGAATATGACATAAATAATTCTATAAATTTAATGGTAAAATGGTTAGATGATAATAATTTGAAAATTAATCTGACTAAAACTAAATTAATACATTTTAATCAACGGATCAATAGAATGAGTAATTTAAAACTACATTACGATGGCCAGCATATAGAAGAGATAGAATCAACAAAATTTTTAGGGCTATTGACAAAAAACTGAATTGGAAAGCCCATATCGAAATATTATGCAAAAAAATCTGTAAATCATCCTATGCCCTGCACACATTGTCATATATAATAGATGTAGAGGCATTGCTTACAGCCTACTAAGGAGTAACAGAATCTCATCTTCGCTACGGTATCATATTTTGGGGCAACTCAACAGACAAAGACACGGTGTTCAAAGCCCAAAAGAGATGCGTTCGTACAATATTTAAAATTAAACCTACTGACAGTTGCGTGCCCTACTTTAAAACATACGGAATACTTACGTTGCCATGTCTGTACATTTTTGAGGTAGCTGTATTCGTCAAAATAAATCCACACCGATTTAAACTATTACATGAGATAGTCCCACGTAACAGGCGCGACAACAGTAGGATATGCTGCGAGAACAGCCCTCATGCGCAAAAGTGTTTTCTGTATGGCTCCGATAATACTTATATAATAAATTACCCAAAAGTTGGAGAGAACTGCCATTATCACTATTTAAAAACTATTTAAAATTATCACTATTTAAAAATTTTGGATGAAAACGATTTTTCTCTTCCGACATCTAGTAAAGAATTGGTTAAGAATGACAATTTAATACGAATTTGTAAATCTTGACATAATAAATACTACCTATATTATATAATAGACATAATTAATTTTTGACTAATGTGCCTCATATGCTTCATACTTATCTTGACATAAATTAACATTTATTTCTTGTGTATTGTGTAAAGAAATTGATTATGTAAATGGAAATTAAATTACTGTTTTATGTCTATATAATATTTGTACGCCGTTTATCGGCAAAACATGGACGCTCACAACACACTATTAAATTATTAATACCTTGCATGTCTTATTTTCTGTGTACGCTTGTTTTACAAATAAATTATCTTTCTTTCTTTCTTTCTTTCTTTCAATAAATGCATCCTACCTGATGACATACGGAGACGAAGCGAGGACACTTACAGTGTTACTGATCCACGAAACTTAAAGTAGCACAGCGAGCTACGGACAGGGTTTCGAATAAAATGAAATATACGTCGGGATCTTAAACTGTCCGTTCGTAGGATAGTTGCGAGGAAAAGTTCAAATAGATCTATGAAATATTTGTACTTACATGAAAATCTTCGATATCTAACCTGCAAACACTCTTCCCTTGGGATCAGCTTTGCCATCGTTGATTCTGTTTGTGGGTAAGTCACTGTCCACCTCTACAAGCTCTTTGAAAACAGTTGCTGGGCTTCCATCAGCCCCATCCCACCTGATTACTTGGAACTTGCGGTCTACCCCCACCAGGAACTGATCAGTGGTGCCCTCTACCGGTACTATGAAGCCGACGCGACCGCCTGCAAGGTTTAAAAGAAGTTGTTAGCAATGCTTAAGACCGAAGATCTAAACAGTAGGTAGCCCCTCGGTATTAAATGCACTCACTAAGTTCTTTGTGAACATCTAGAGAGCAATATCCAAGGCTTCCTGGATAAATTCCCTCAATTAGTCCAAGGATTAGGAAAATTACTTAATTTATCTGTTACAGGCGATTTTAAAATATGCTCACGGGAGGCCTGCAGCCTTAAGCTTATTTTAAACTGTAGTTTTGAAGGAATAAATAGCAACTGCACTTCCTACTTATTATAAATATTGTAGATATGTGGCCACATAAAAAGTATATAATTATATTCCTTTCTTAAGTACAAAAAAAAATTATAAAAATTGTAAACTTACCAACTTTAGTCTTGGTGTGCGCTCCAGTGGCGGGCACATACTTGTGGATGGTGTGTTCCTGTATGTTGACGAAGAACAGCGCCTGGTGATGCTCGTCCCAATGCGGACCCTCGCCCAGCAGCAGTGGCTCCGTGGCCTTCTCCACTTTTACCGACATCTACTCAAATTGGAAAGGCAATTAATTAGTCCAGTCCTGTATGGAGTACTGCTCTTATTTATGGGACGGCTCCTATAAACACAGTAACATACTTGAACACATTAAGAGGCCGTGCCAAGAGGCTCATCAACGACGATGGGCTAGTGGCTCCCGACTTCAAAACCTCGAACACAGGCGCAAAGTTGCGAGCCTATCGATTTTTTATCCGATACATTTCGCAAAATGTTCGGGAGAGCTTCACAACTATGGTTCACCCTAATCCTTTCCACCATCGTAGGTACTACCAGACAATCGGCAAAACAAATCATCGCTTTATGGTTGGTGGATATATCCCACCTACATGCACGGAGCGGTTCGCCTCCAGTTTTAAAATCCGAACCGCTAAGGACTGGAATTCTTTGTCGGAGTCTGTGTTCCCCGATGGGTATGACTTAGGTATCTTCAAGGCCCAAGTGAAAAGGTTGCATAAGCCATAACCTATATAAATGCATAACCCATATAAATGTGTAGGCTTGCTCCTTCGTAGGTCGCATTACCGTTTACCACCATGCAAGTAGGTAACCAATTATTTTTCCGCAGGGTTCTTATTCATCTAACTTACTATTTCCACATTACCAGAATCAGTAACTCCCAATGTAGTCCTTCGGCGACTCGAAAAAGAGACCTGATAGATCATTTTTGGGGGGTTAGGATCATCAAATGACTTCTCTCAACCTGGGTGAGGTGACAGGGAGTGTCAGACTCTTACTGTCTAAAACCCAGCCTGTTCCTTTTCCTGCACGAGTTCGAGGCCGCGGCTCGTTATTGGGTTTGCCCCGCAACCTTAACTGAACCTGACAGTTCCGCTGATGGACAGTAGTGTTAGACAACTAACACTACTGTCCATCAGCGGAACTGTTCGTCTTATAAAAAATTCTACGTTGTTGATTTTTTTTTAATTATTCTTTGCAATGTGAAAATATATTGAGAGATAAAGATCAGTTGAATCCTGAGCAGATCAGTTGAAAACGCCACAATCACAACATACCTAAATTCAATGCTAAATGAGTATTTAACGCCGTATTTAATTGTGTCGTTTAGTTAGGTACCCGCTGATTAGTTTTTTTATGGTATGCAAATTAATCACATTAAAATCTACGGACCTAATCAATGAGATTTTTATGAAGTGTTACATTGAGGACCGTTCGTAACGAATAATCAGTGAAATAACAATAGGTACCGACAGACCTTACAAGACCAGAAAAAAGGCCGTCTAAAATCTTGATTTTTACCTAGACCTAAAAACAAATATTTGGTAGGTAGGGACAACAGTTAACTTTTTAAGTTTCGTACATCAGTTAACTTTTGAAGTTCCATAGAAGAAGTTAAGCCAATGGGCCTACGCGACGATTACTATAAAAATAATGTTTTTACTTTTCTGTGTGGTAGTGATATACGAGCACGGATTACCTGATGGTAAGCAATCGGCACTTGCTACACTTGAAGTTTTCGTAAGGTAGTAGACGAACAAGAACGTTTTACTTAGATCTTATTGACTTTGAAGTCGAGAGGCGAAAAGAAATAGGTACCTAATCGAAGAAGGTAACATAAGTGTTATGTACGACTTATCGTCATGTAATGTAGGTAATAATAACAGACCGTTGTCGACATTATTACTGAATGTTAATCTCGAAGAATATACTGTACATACAACATTATCTAGTAGGTAGATACATTAGTATTTATAATTATAGATACCGCTTTATCTAAGACTAGCTACTGTCACACGGTTTCCCCCGTTTCTTTCGTAAATTTCTGGATAAATTAAGTAGGTAACACAAAAAGAATATTGTTTAATTCGAACCAGTAGTTCCGGAGATAATCGCGTTCAAACAAACAAACAAACTCTACAGCTTTATTAGTACCTACTATAATAATATATTATAAATGTACCTATCTATAAGACATCCCATCCCCATTGTCTGCCTAATTGTTTGAATCTTCATACTTTAAAGGGACGTGGGGGAAAATGGAGTGTGACGCAGTGTGAAAATGGGGTAGGAGAGGCATTTAATTGGCATAGCGGCCAAGCTATGCCAATTAAATGAACGTTAGTGAGAATGTATGTATGTTTGAAATTTGGTATATATCTACATAGATAGCTGATTACCCTGGAATAACATTTAAGCTGGGCATAAGAAGTAATTTATGGGTTAACAGGTCCAAACACGATAGTGTAATTTTGTTTAATTGACAGTAACTGATTTAACATTGTGTAGGTAAGTAGGTACCTACATGATCATACAATCCTGGGTGTAGGCTTAGAGACAGAGAAAACAAACAATCAGTATCTATCTCGATCACATTGCAATTATTTTGATAAATTGGTTTTAATGATTAGAGTATGTAATTAACTAGTCAATTTGTTCGAGATAAATGAAAAAAATACAATAATAAGCATGACAAACGTATTTACTACCTAGTTGATTTCACACAAATAAAAAACAACAGTCATTTTCAGATTTTTTAAAGATCTGTGATACCTAGCTACGACTGTCAAACAGGATTGAACTAAGTACACTACCTATCTTGACCCTTTATATCGAAGTATTATAAACTAGCTTTTGCCTATGAATTTGTTCGCGTGGAATAGTAACTTCCTGCAAATTTTTGGTTTAAAAACTATCCTATGTTCTTTCTGGAGATCCAAACTACGTCTGTACCAAATTTTACACAAATAGGTTCAGTAGTTTAGGCGTGAAGAAAAGACAGACAGACTTTCGCATCTATAATATTAGTTTGGATCTAAAGAGCTTGTTTGAACGCGCTAACCTTTGAAGCTGGTATCTACTGATTTGAACTGTAAATAAAAACAATTCAAATCGTTCATTTAACCTTTGAAGCTGGTATCTACTGATTTGAACTGTAAATAAAAACAATTCAAATCGTTCATTCAATTAATCATCAGTCCATTTATTTTTATACTATCTACTCTTGTTTGTGATACTCTTCGCGGGAATAGCAAACACAGTGATTAATGCCCAAACCTTTACCTACCGTGTGAGAAGAACATGCCTACGTATAGGCTGATGATGTATTTGTTTAGAAATATATCCAACACCCAGTAAAAATAACAGGGTAGGTAAGTGACAAAGCTAAAAAAAATCAAGAGAAAACACTTCGAAATTTTTTTAATGAAAGTGTATAAGTACATGCTTACTAGAGAAAACGTAACATAGGTAGGTACTTATCAGTAAAAGAAATATAAATATTTTTAGTTATTATCTACACAACATATAAGTTTAAACACAGAGATATCGCACTTGAAAAACATTAATTCAACAGAGCAGATAAAGCGATAGGTACTTGCCTACCTATCTAGTTTGAGCTTTGATTAATCAGTACTCCAAGTGTCTAGCTATTTTAATGTAAAGAGCAATTGACATTATTACCTAATTACTTATACCTAAGGACCATTATTTTGTACTTAGTCGTCAATTAAACTTTTTTTAAATTCCCAATTTCTGTCAATGATACCTAGGTCACTTAATATATCTCTGATCACCATAAGTGCGGGTCGCGGACGGGAAAGCAAGAGGGCAGCAAAGGTAACTTGCCGCCTGACCAAAACGAGACCCTTAAAGAGCCAGCAGACCACCACAGATGGGGTCCAATAGGGCTGATGTTAAGTAAGAAAGGAACACGGTGGTTTTAAGTCAATAACCTGCGTTTTCCGAAAGGCCGATCAATGTCAAAATCAATTTAATCTCTTGTCAAGTCATCTGATTGGTTGACTGAATTATCAACAACCAATCAGATGACTTGACAAGAGATTGAACAGGAGATTGATTAGTTAATTTTAGCCTTTCAGAAACCGGGTGTAAGAATCTGACACTTTCTCTGGGGTGAGAGAAGCCATTTGGTAATTTCCCCAAAAAAAGATTAAACCACTTGACACTTAAAAATGAGTACCTATATATGTGTTTTTATTGAATTTTTAATAGGCGATTAACTGTTCTTACGTGCAGAATTAACTTTCTATTCTAAATAATATGTATAACACCTCTGAACATAATAACCAAAAAAAACTTGATTTTTAAATTAAAGCCACCTATACAGTACATGCAAATGAACCATGTACAATTTATAATAAATAATCACACAATAACTAGCAACGTCCACGTACCTTACACCGCGGGAGTCTCTCGGCAAATAACGCCGGCTGCAATACACAAACAATTATATCTAAATCTACACAGTCGTCGACGTTATGATTACTGCGTGTGCTTATTGACTACACACGATGACAAGCACTTGTTTTCACAAGGTTGTCTCTTTTGCCTCCTTAAAACGTCTGTAAAGATGCACTCAATACGAGAGCTATCCCTATCGAAGAGCTCTTTTACTCACAATAGACTGCGTACTTCTTCATAATAACATCTCAATGTGATTATTTATTGATAGATAGGTACACTAATACAAAATATATCTCCAATACCCGCTCAAGCAACGTATGTGCTCTGCCCCCGTTAGTATTCATCTCGGAATAAAACTGCTCTTGAATACCTGTAATACAAGACACGGCACGACACGACACGGCATAACACCTTAAGGGGGGATGTGGTCTGGTGCTCGCGCCCCCGGCTTGGTGCGGGTCAAGGAACGGGTGGTTTTTAGTCTGACATACACAAGGTAATCAAGCTTAGAAATAAAAACACATGTGAAAAATCAGTAGACATTTATTTGATGGAATTTGGAAAAAAATTACAAATAACATCTCAAAGGCGGACATTACCCTAACTTTGAGCACTGTACAACCATAAAGTAAGACATACATGTACCTTAAATGTATTATTCACAACACAATTATTGTATTTACTAATGTATCTTTAACACTGATATGACAACGAGAATTTTGTTCCACGGCAGTGAAGTTGATCGTCAAATACTACTTATGGATGACACTGCTCGTTATAACATACATCAAATTGACTTGACTTGGCACACAAACTTATACAACTACGTTGAGAACAAAAAATATATATTTTACGCCCTAACTGACGAGATTACAAAGTAACTGACGGTATACTTAAATAAAGTAACACTATACTAAAGTTACGTAAACATTAATTAACGACTAACATAAAATTCTAACCCCTAGTGATTTAAACTAATACTGAAAACCGAAAATTACAATTGACATGAACATGACACGTAACCTGTCGCAAGAACACTTATTTTTTCTTTTTAATATTTTCTTTAACAAATCTTTAAACATTCAAGATTTCGCTACTATACGCAAATATATAATTTTATGCGTAATATATAGTAAATATTAATATACAATTATGTTTCAAGTGTAAATGTGAAGTATATTAATCATGGGCGGAATTAAGGTACATCCTTAGCGATCATAAATAAACAATTAAATATAAGTAATAATATTTGTACATACAGATCAGGTCAACTGTCTGTTATGTTTGTATAGTAATAGATATAAAGCGATCTGTTTTTCGTATAACAAATGTCTGCCAACAACATAATACCAATCGTTCCTGAGATTACTCGAGAATCACAGCCAAACACTTAAATAAACAATCCAAAATACGAGTCAATTTTGTCATTGTGTGCAGACGTAAGCGGTGTCTAACCGCCGCGCGTAAACAGGATAATAGCATTGAAAGGAACTGTAAAATTAAATATGGCGCGCTACATGTATATTACTGGTTCATCTCCCAAAATGGAGATCTCAATTTCAGTCGGCTCATCTCCGGCCTTTGATACACAAATGCAGCGTGCACCGACTAACGTAGTAAATGCAGAGACTAGGCTATTTAGAGAAAAAAATCTATAATACTAATGCAGTTTTCTTGTTAACAAGGTTACTTATGGTCCCGCTTACATTTAATGTTAATGGAATTTGAACAAGGTACTTAAATATAAGTAAACAACTAACAAACCCAAGCACCAGTTTTCTTACGAATGTTATTTTTAATTGAGATCAAAGTAGGACACTTCGTATGTTCACGTTATTTAATTCACATTTTAGTAAGTGCTGATTTGTTATTTGGAGATTCAAAAGGTCTGTGGTTATATTGAGCTTGAGATCTGAAAATATTTTAAAGTAAATGTACTCTTAGTGCGAACCTAAACAGAGGTGTGTGAAACCGTATTGACTTATTCTAATTAAACTAAAATTAAGCCGAAAAAAACTTATCACGACACAAGACTCCACTCATATTGCGACGTGGGTACGGAACCCACGGGAACTAGATCAGGCTGTATAGAGTTAAGCCTGGGACTAAGGTGTAACAACAGAACGTGTGTCGTGACCAGCCATTAAAAAAATACTTAAGAAACAGAAACTTAAATTTGCGACATAAAAACTACAATATTGTCTTAAAATTTACAGTTTCACCTTACATTATAAGGAATGACATACAGCTCCTAACAACTACGTAACATTTGTATGTATAATGCTGTAACATACAAAAATATCACGCTAACCCTGTTCTAATCAATTTTGCAGCACCAATGAACACTTGTGGATTATTTAACAATTTCAAAAACGGTTCCTATATAGTAATTATATAGTATACTAAATTTATTGGCATATAAAAATGGAGGTTTCAGTCAAATTGATCACAGTTATGGAAGTTAACAAATCGGGATTTTGAAAGGGTTTTAGAACTAAGGTTATGCAACCTACCCTCCTTATGTTAAGTACATTCTATGGAAATTTACTACCTTTCAACAACAGATAATGACAAGTGTTTGTTCCCACATCGTAATAAATAACCGATGATTGTGCCATTCTGCGCCAGGTATCTGCGACTAAACCTAGAAGTTTGACTTGGATAATACAACATGTTTAATTGACTTTTTGCAAATATTGTCTATATAATAATTGACGCGAATGTGCACACAACGTGGCACAATGTAATAATGCAACATTGATACGATTATTCGAATAATTTCTACTTTCAAATTCGTATACTGATCTTATAACAACGATTGTCGTCGTACACTGAATTCAGTCGCTATAATTAGTAGCTCGTGTTGCTTTCAAGCTACTAGTGAACAAGTTGTAATCGGCCGAGTGTAATATTTTTTTATATTTGATGGTGAACATTTGGCAACTTTAAATTACATAATTTATACACGTCAGCCGATAGTTTAGGTGTTTATTTGAACATACACTGATACATAAACATTACTAGAATTTACATGTTTGTTCAAAATATTTTGATCACTTTTATAAGTTAGTTTATGATCATTTCAGTGCATATTCAGATTATTATTGTGAGTGTTACACATAAAAAATTAGCTTCGCAAATGTTATATGTGCAAGTTAATATGTATCGAGTGATTTGATCATTTATTAGAAATACGTATTTAAATTTTAGACTAAAATGGAATTGAATCCTATTTTAGAATACAATTTAAATAGTATTTAAAGATTTCTAATTAGATTGACCACAATCTAGTGTAACAGAGGTTAATTACATAGTTCCTGCTAAGAATGGGTTCTAACTTTACTGGAATGTGGTAAACTGAATTACTTCCAGAACGCCGGCGTTCCCGGGCAACACATATTTCAACCAAGTCCATTGTTTGTCAATAACCTTGTAAATTTAGCCGTGTTGGTGTACCGATTCAACTTTATTAGTCGAATAATCGACTACGACGACGATTAAATTGACATAACATTTTAGCAGTTTACATAGCAATAGATATATAGTTCGGGTTACGTTTACATTGACGTTTGTCGATTATTCGAGTAAAATGAATGAGGAGTGAAGTTTGACAACTAAAAGCAGCTGTATTTGTATTTAAATATTTTATAGAATTTTGAAATGAATGAACTTTGGTCAAAATGATTTAGTTTGGTTTGTCCAAATGAATAACATAATAGAGCTTGAGTACACAAATTGTGGTGAGGGATGTGTAAACCAAGAAATATGCCATGACAATGAGGTGAATTTACCTAATGTGTGTGGTGATCCTTTGAATGATGGTGAATTATGGAGCTTGTAGTCGCTGGGGTGGCCTGTGATAAATCAAATAAAACATTAAGCAGATTTTCATACAACATTTTCCTCTGTGACAGATTTATATTTTAGTTCGACAAAAATTTAAATACACATTAATTCGGGTAAACTCCAAAATTGCGACCAACCTCCGAGAGTTGGACTAAAATAGGCCTACAAAAAGAATTCGTTGTTTAGCAGTGAATGTTTTAATGATAATGATGGTAATTCGCAAATTTAATCCTTGTTACGGTATATCTTTGGTGTAATTTAGTAGTTATGTACTCAAGCTTTTATGTATAAACGAGTGTATGTGTGTGTTGATCGGTACGTGTAGTAGGTTTACTTGTGCTCTACGTGGTGTGGGTGTGGGTGTGGATGCGGCGGCGGGTAGTGCGGGGCGGGAGGGTAGTATGCCTGCATCCCTCCCTCATATACTCCTTCCTCGTAGCCAACGTAGCCCATACCGCCCATCATACCCATCATAGCTGTAACAGAATATTAATTTGTCATCAGAAATGCTAGGGAATCAAGCAATGAAGAGTTTCAAGTTCATGGTACAAAATTATGACAGGTTTTATTCATATAACATGTAATAGATTAAAATTGCTTTCATAGGTCAAAGCCAAGAAATAGGTAATTTCTCATTACTTGTTTTATAATAAAACAATGATAAACTTGACTTACCAGGGTCAGTTTCAACAGGGTAGTACTGTATTGGATACATGGGTGGTGGGTATGGGATGTACGGCAGGGTCAGCATGGGCTGTTCCATGACGCACTCGCCCTCGCCTGCGCCGCTGTAGCCAATGTGCGGGCCGCGCGGCTCGCCGTGAGAGTTGCGACTGTAAGCCAGAAAAGACTCGGTAAGGTTTTGTCATTTTGTTGCTATCGAAGAGGTGGGAAACAATGGAACAGTATGAGTGTTATAGGATTACGCACCGGTTGTTAGGGCCTTTATTGCCCATGTTGTTGTTGTGCTTGTTCTGATTGTGGTTCGAGTTTTGATTGCCGTCTTGATTGCCGCCTCCGCGCTTGAATCTGTTAAAACGAAAATGGCAAGTTACATCCCATCCTATAAACTTGATGATATAAAGGAAACGTACTCATGAAGATGATTGTTTTACCGAGACACCGACCTGGGCCCGAGCAGAGGTCGCTGGCCGTTGCCCTTGGGCTGGTTGTTGAGCTGCGGCTTGTCTGCGGCGGGCGCGGGCTTGTGTTTGTGCGCGTGGTCGGGCGCGTGGTGGGCGCGGTCGGCCAGCGACACGTGCGCCAGGTCGTGCGCCAGGTCGCGCGCCGAGTAGGGCCGCGGGGGCCCGTACGTGGCCCACACGCACTCCACGCCCAGGTTGTAGTAGAAGCGCAGCGTGGGGATGTCGTTCATGGGCAGGTCGGAGCCGTTCGGCTGGATGCTCTTGAACACGTGCGCGTTGACGCCGGGCGGCGGAGGGGGCGGCACGTGCGCGTGGCCGGGCGGGGGCGCCGGCGCCATGCCTGCGCCCCCGCCCGGGCCCCCGCACCACACCACGCTCTTCACGCCGCACACGTAAGGCGCGCACGCCCCGCCCGCGCTCACGCCTGGCATGCCCCCCACGCCTCCCACGGGGTACCCGTTTCCGCCAACACCCCCACCAGGGTTCATCGCGTCTACAGACAAAACGTTTGTTATGAATATCAACTGTACACAATTTCTAAGTTAAACTTTTTTAATGTAGAAATTGTGTACAAAGGTTCTGTAACCTCCTAAATGTGAAGAAGAATACATAATATTAAGAAATAACAATCACGCGGTTTTCAAACATTACCATTTGGTCATGCTTCAGCATGAATGGCCCAGCTAGCGGCGCCGATTGCTTACCATCAAGGAATCCTTCTGCTCATTTGCTGACCAATCCCATAAAAATATGCAATGAGCAGTCAGCAGATTTAAAATCTCTCTATTAAGAACACGGCAACTAATATTGCAATTGTAAGTCAATCGCCAATGTTTACAAACAACTGTATCCTGTTACAGAAACCTCGACAGGGGTCCAACAACATTGATTGCGCAATGGGCGACCTATATTGTAATTAGTTCAAGGGCCGAGCTCTTTTGTAGAGAAGCATTATACATATTCTCCTGTTCCAGAGCAACAAGTATCACGATTACATCATGCATTGAGGACCCTTTGTAAGCGCACCCCAGTGAACCAGCTCTATTGCCGTGACACGTGACTTGGCGTGACCCTCTACACTAACTGACAAAGGAATTATGTCAAGTGATTGCACTGGGTAGAACTGTACAGCTAGCTATAACACCAAAGTGATTTCATTCGCAATATTTTGTTCATAAACCGATTCTTGGTTGAACAATGAACACTTGATGATTCATTACTAATATTGTAAGGCTAAAGAGTTTGTTTCTTTGAACGCCGCTAATATTATAAAACTGAAGAATTTGTTTCTTTGAACGCGCTAATCTCCGGAAGTGCTGGTTAAAATTGAACAATTATTTTTGATTGGTGGATTTATCGAGGAAGGCAGGAATAGAACATCACGCTAGGATCTGTAGAAACAGAGCATCGGGTAAAACCGCGCGAGAATAGCTAGTATTAAATATTTATATAAATAAAAGCACAGAAAACCTAAGTCATGGCTTCCATTGAGTTCCATTGAGTTATGCAGAGAAAATGGAAGTTATGGAAAAGCAATGCTCCTGAAGCACATTTTCCTTAAATACTTCCTCCCTAATTTCTTTCGACTTGTACAACAACACAAGCAAATATGGATCCAAACATAATCTACAAACTCATTACCACTAAGTAATTTCTAATACGGTAATTATAAAAAAATGTCGTCTTCATTGATATTGCAACATAGAAAGTGCGACGTAAGCTACAAAGCAAATATTTAACCAAGTCGTTAGTGTAATGTAGTAATTAGTAACTCGTTTTAAATTACTGTCATTATAAAAATAGTTTTTATCGATATTGCAAGAACGCCATTGCCTTGAGAAACAGTTCTTTTTTATGAATTTTATAATTCCTTTTTTTAAGAAAAAGCGTTGCCCATTAGTTAGTTGTTCGATGTCGTGACTGAGTTTACAAACTTAAAATTCCAACACGAGCCTCCCAGACCAGAAACTAAAATTTGTGGAACACACAAAGTGTTGTTCCCTGCGGTAATCGAACCAGCGACACATTGCACAGCAGCCAGCTGCCCAGCCACTGCGCCAACCGGACTAACCGCGCCAAGGACTGCAGTCCTTACATTGGTGTTTACCACCAAACACAATTTACAGATACCTACACATCTCATATTGATGATGAAATCAATCCTTCTACTTGTACAGCAGCAAGCCATCCAGTTACTGAGATGTTATTAAAAAGTAAGATATCAGGACTTACTGGTATAGGTAGTCAGCGTGTTTGTCGAGGCCGGTGTGGAAGACCGCACTGACGCCGGGGAAGCAATGCCGTGGGCCACCATGTCCCCGTTACCTCCCGCCTGCTAACAAGCATAATACCATAAAACATTATTTCATAAAATAAAAAAATTACATTCAAAATAGGTAGGTAGTTCAACCCCAATAAATGAACCACTTCGCCTGCAGTGATATCAATGATATTGTAAGTATTCTTATGATGCTGACCTGGTTATGATGATTCTCATTTGGCGCGCCGCCATTTGGTTGGGGATGTGTGAGTTCAAGGGGCGGAGCACCCGCGCCCGGCCTGCAGTCCACCATTAGGGGGAGTGCTTCAACTTCAACCTGAAACACATAAAAACAATGAATACATTATACTACACGCAAACAAGTCCACCAACACTTACAATTTGGACAAATTGCTGACAGTTGCAGTTAACGTTTTATTTCGCCACAAAAACTTGAATGTTTGGTCGTTAGCGCACAAAACACGTAAGATGCGGCCGAGGCGTCGTTATCAAATGAATGATTGATTTCAAAGCGCTCCATACAAAAATATCTTGACCCTTAAGGGATTTGTTTGGCAAAATGAAACGATAAATTGGATAATTATGTATTTGTTTTTCCTGTCAGCAACTTAGCCCATGTCTACGCGCTAAACATATGTACATATATACAGTACGACAACTAGAATAAATAAAAAAAGACATCTACAAACCAAATCTATTTACTATACTACTACACATGATCACAAACAACTCTAGAATAGCTACGATATGGTACTTTGGGTACGATTTATAAGCACGTCACTTTATTTCAGGTAAATCATTTTTTATGTGCGCAAATTATATAAACATTTACGTTTCACTTAAATACAAATTAAGGAACACTCCGATGAGTACCTGCTGTCAGTCGATCAATAAGGGATTTAATTGATGAACAGATATAGCCCTCTGATGTTTAAAGGGGCTTTAAGGCAATAAAAAACACGGAAAAATAACAAAAATGTAATACATAATTGGCTTATAAAAAAAAGGTAGCAAATATTAAGAGGCAGGCTTCAGTTACAAAACAATTGTACCGCCTCCGGGAAATGTATTTATAGAACACCTTACGGGATTACCCGTAATGTGTTTCAACAAGGAGACGTTGTTAAGTAATAGCAGGCAAGTGATATGCTTACAAGTCACCCAAAACCTAGTTCTATGTCTAGCTACAACTAACAGGCATCGGCTCAAAGTTAAGGAAGTCCAGGTGCTGGTATGTAAAGTCGACGTTGTTTTGGAAAGCTAGCCCTGTCTCCTCGTTCCACGACACTTTGCTCGGCTTGCTCACTTTCTCGGGAGTCTTGTCGTCCGGGGCCACCTTAGACTTGTTCCGGGCCTTGCTCAGACCTTGTTTCAGAGTGATGTTGCCTGCTCGTGGAAATTAATTGAGTAGGTACGGCAATTTGTAAAAGCGTGACACCATTTCAATAATTGTGCTCAATACTAAATATATGTGCATTAAGTATTAGAAGTAGTTCAAGCAAGTGATAAAAATAATAAGAAGCATTCCGATTGTGAGACGGTAAAATATAGAATTTGGCAAAACAAGATCGAACCTATTTGCTGTAACATTTGGCTCAGAGTGAGGAACTGGGAATGAGCTCGCGAGTATCTGTATGGAGGGGCCCACGGTCTTATCTCCTCAAGGGGAAGCGGCTCCAGCTGTTCAAAATTGACAATACGCTTCTCGCCGAGTTCTTCTATAAACACGAGGCATGGACCGCCGTCAGGTCGCATTTCTTGGATATGGCAGTGATAGGGAACAGTTTGCTCGGGCTGCAGTTTGCACAAACATTTCACACCCACTTGGAGGGTCGTCCCATCAGAATATCTCGCGCCATAACGCATTTCTGTAAACCATATCATAAGTACCGAAATAGGCAAATTATATGTAAAAATAATTCCTTCAAATGAACTAGAATAGGCAACTGAAACGCTAAACAAAACAAATCCCCGGGTCCGCTGGCCTCGTTACATGCAAAATTACTTCGTCACTTCCGTTCTTGCGAAAATTGCTAACAAAAACACAAGAAGTTCGCGAGAGAAAGCTGTTGTGAATACTTATAACTAGTCAACAATCAGGAAAACTATTAAGTAAAGCGTCCAATCGACCGAAAACTGCATGTAGCTCGGAACAAGATCCGTAAAATACAATTAGCTCAAATAATGCATGTTTAGAGTCTCTGCTCCTATTCAGTTCTAGGGAAAACTTCGGTACCTCGTCTGAGTTCGCTCCATACATCAAACTCAATGTTCCTGTAGATATCAGGGTCTAAGGCCTTCGCTACTTTGTATGGAAACGGTGTGATTCCATTATCAAGTAAGTCTTTCGCGCTGTTTACGTTCAAGCAGTTCATGCATACATTCTCAAGCTGTATGAGGCTGCGGTTGAACACGAAGATGCTCAGAGATTCCTTCAACAGACTAGCCCTTTCTAGATCTTCAGTGTGGTGCTTACATTTCAGCGCTAACGCATTGTTGCTCCTGTCCTTATCATCATCAGCAGCTTCAATGAATATCTTAGCTCTTTCTTTCTGCTTTTTGCGACGTTCAACATTCTCTGACATAAAGTACTCAATATGGTTCGAGGGTACTTTGTCGTGGAGCATTTTGTCCACAGCGTAAGACAAGTCTTTTAGCTGATAGACTCCGTCGTACAGTATTTCGTAAACTAGAGCTATAATCACAATATTCAATGTTTATGTTTGGATATTCAGATATAAAGTAAAAGTGAAGCAATTTGAATAACATGTTATTAAAAGCACTCAAGTATACTATCACTTTTTCTGACTGGTCTGACACAAAGAAGTATGTAGCATACTGAACTGGATGATATTTTCGGCAAAAAATAAACAAATGAAAGCTATCATTGACTTCCTAATCTACCAATCAAGATTGACGAGTTTATATAAAGCATAGCCTCCCTTTGTCATATCCTTTTGCAAGCAAGGTATTTATGTTTGTAGTTACTTTGTTGTAGACATAATATTATTGATAAGGAAGGAGTAAGTCAGCAACTCAATACACTCAGTATGTGACTCACTCAAGCGCTAGTTGTTTGTGACTACCTACTGAGAATTTGGAAAAAATATTTTGGCACTAATGAAATTCATAAATAAAAGCTTAAACCTTAGGAAAATTTTCATTCTGTTATTGTAAATGTAAAAAAATGTGACAACAAGTATCTACATTTAGATAGATATATTTGCATGCAAGGTAATGGCTAAACATGCTGAACAAGGGCTGATTTTTCTATGATTAGATAAAAGTTACCTGGGGAATAATTATGATGCTGTTGCATCAAAATGTTTGTATAAGAAGTGACAGCATCAATTTTATTCCTCAGATAACATTTATCCATACCCGCCATAAAGGAAATGTGTGCAATATGCAACAAATACCATCATATTTTATTGCAGTTGCAAGATCTAGTTTCACAGCAAAACAAACTTAACTTTTCATCAAGATTACTCCCTATCCAAAGCGCTTAACTTCTGAATCAGATCAGCCAGTACAAGTGTAAAACAGCCAAATGAAAAGCTGATAAGTTACTACTGGGGTTTGCTGACAAACTTCAAAACATTTAAGACAATACCAACTTACACTGGCAAAAAGATGAGGTGTTTATGAAATCTTTCGTGTAGACCACGTCAAAATGTTTTGTGTCAGGTGAGTAAAACAAGTATATTGGGTCTCCGTAACCATTACATATCTTTGTCTGTGGGCCCTTGTTAGCTTCAAATATTACAAAGTCACGTCTGCAATGTTTTTAAAATGACATCTTTTAATCTGTATGTAACTTGTGCCTAACACAAGTTTTGATAAAGTAATTAACTTGAACATTGTAAATCTCAAGCAATAACAACAGTTCTTAAGCAGAAGGTACCTCGCTGTAATATATTCCCATTAAAAATGTATTTGTAATTTTATTATAATTAATGTAACAATATTAATTACTGGCATTTCACATAATTATCATCAGACTTGTGATAGGCAAAGTATAAATTAAATGTTACAAAATATTATTCATAATGTGGGTAGACCAAATTTCATATGAAAATGTCTTACCTATAGAGATGGCTCATGGCCGATATTTCAATTAAACCACCCCACTCTGATGGGTTTGACATCTCTTTGAGATAATTTTCAAATGGACAAGTCAATGACTACAAAACAAAACACATTAAGTTAAGAGTCTGCCGGAATCTGAATATTATCTGATAATTAAATGGCATACCCTACCCCTTCGAAGAGATGCCGTTTAGAAGCCATGAACTGAACGCAATCCAACCGGACTTTATGAAAATATCGTTGGGTGTTATAAATGTTTTCAGACACCGCACGGAATAGGCAGCTAGAGTCCCTAGCTGTATGTTTACGGAAAAATCCCATCTCATCCAACCATCTGTCCGGCTCCGAGGAACGCTTGTGTATCTTCCACGGCCCGCGACAGCGGATCGGGGAAGGCGACATTGTACACTGCTAACAATCTGCAGGTAAACAAAAACAAATGACGCTGCCGCTTTGATCTACATATCCGCCAAATATTTCGAAAAGACCGTCACACTTTATGTTCAATGAAGACACAAGATAAAGTAAATAAACAGATTATGTATCCAAAAAACCATATCGTAGCTATACCGTAATGAAGAATGCAAATGGTTGTTTTGCTGTCTACGATATACAACACGTGCAAATATTAAATCTTACAAATGTCGCTAAAATAATAAGAAAACACTTACTGAAATAGTTAATCCCAACTGCCAGCATCAGTGTTGAACTTTGTTGTAAATGCGAAGTTATATTTTATGAAAATATAAAGAAAACTGCACGTGCCAAATGCAAACCGTCAAGAGCCGGCGGGAAGCAAATCAAAATTTACAAGACGTAGGGGTGGACGATATACATCGATGTTTTAAAAACACTCGATGTATTGTATCGATGCATCGTATTGAACCGATGTATTGTTAATACTTCAACATCGAATACATATCGATGTTTTTCATTCGATACATCGAATACGCAAATGGGGATCCACACTGCGTATTTATCCCGTCAGATGGCGCATCGTCGATGGTTTGACTGACAACTGTCAATTTCATACATAATGGTGATTCTCAATCAGAATTATTAGGTTTTTTCTAATATGCCACTGTGTTAAGTACCAGGCTGTTTTAATCGTGGTAATCATCTTTTTCCAAAAGCTCCAGCATTGAAAAAAAGAAAGTGAGAAAGAGCTACAAAAATTATAACCTTTGTATCAACAGTAGACACGGATTATCACGGAAAATCTGCTATTATAGGATTGTAGAACTACTTTAGTAGTACGCTGCCCGTGCGTTTTTATTGTCATAAGTCGGCATTTCAGACCTAGAACTAACCTAAAATCAAACATTTTATTTTCTGACCAAAAATCTGTCTTAATCGTTTTGAAGTGCACATTAATATGACCACATTAAATTAGTTACTTATTAAGTCATCACTATAACAGGAATAACACATTAAATCAGGAAGTAATTTGTCAATCTTGTGGAAACGACACCTACCGTTGTATAAGGCTCTGTGATTTTAAATTTAAATACATATGTTTTCTGATTTTCTTAATACATGTTTTTGTTTTAATTAATGCCTAACCTAAAACAATCGATGTTTAAGAAACATCGATGTATTTCTCAATACATCGGATTACCATCGATGTAACTAAACGATGCATTACATCGAAAAAAACATCGATGTATTTTTTTAATGTCCATCCCTAACAAGACGGCATCTATTGCAAAAAACTAAATGTTACCACACTTGAAGCGCTGTCCTGTAACATTTTACATCTCTTTCCAACAACATAAAACATTGTATCTTACTATTTCATTTTTTGTCTATGAATGCTAGATAACATATCAATGTAAGGAATGAAACGCGCAAAACGAAAATCATAGACCACAAATATATGTGAGTAAAAAACTCAAACATAAAAAATATAGATAAATTATTGAATATCACTAAACTTTTGTCGTAAACAATTATGTTGAAGTTAGCTTAATCTTTCACTCCTTGATAATAAGAGATGGCAAATACTCTCGAAAAATTCTATATTGTCTATTATTTCAGAGATCTACTCAAAAGTGCGTGGTATTTTTCTTTCTTTGTAAGTGCTTATATTCCTCTTTGATTCTTTGTTTACTTTTGTTCTTTTTTTGAATTATTCCTTTTACATGAAACATGATGCTCGATTTTAAATTTTATTAAATTTCCATCGGAGTGTCCGAATAATAGACGCGAGCAATATCGGCTTATCGACTTAGAGGTCTTGGAGTTTGATTTCCGGGTTAAATAAAATACTTACTAATTTATTTCCTTTGAATTCTCAGCAAGCAGTTACGCTCTAGCTAATGACCCAGCGTGTAGAATTATAGCTAAATTGCTCAGTCAGTCGGTCTATTCCACGGGATTGTAACAGGGTGTTATCATCTTCGATGTATAAATGATTTTTTTTTGTAATAATTGGTGAACAGGTAAATGTAAATAAAACAAAAAATATTTTTATTCTATATTTATAAAAAGCACCGTCTGTAAAACATACAAAATTCCGGTAAAAATGGTTTATTGGCATCGACAGCATTATTATAAAAATGGAAAAATGTTTGATTATTAATTATTGTATATGATATAAAAATTATGACTGTTGACATCATTGCTTAGACAAACTATTGCTTTTCTTTTGGATTCAGACCAAACACTTACACCATAAAATGGTTGAGCAAGTAATATTGTTACAGTACTACATTCGATGATTATATTATTATAACTATATTTCTAAGTTAATACAATGCAAAAATACCATATCAACGCAGAAAATTATGTTTAAAAAATTTAGACCCAAATGAGATTTGGTAACTACACTCCTAATTTATTGACCAGAGCATCACACACGCGCAGATGCATAATTCCCATGAGCACTCAACCTAGGGGAGAACACAAGCACAGAATGAAACTGAATTAAACAATAGTAAGTGTTACTCGGAGTGCAGTGTGTTCCCAACTTAAATAAATCAGTACTAGACATTCATACATAATACTCCTTTCAATATAAATTAAATTATAAAATGCTCGTAAAATACGCTTATTAAATATACATATACCGTTAAAAAGTGACATAGAAAATTTGGTTCCTATATACTAATGATAAGGACCAGTTTACAAAGTCCATTCTAAGTCAAATAGAACCTTATGTCGTCGTGTCATTAGATAAAATAAAGACTTGTTAAAACGGACAGCGCAAACGGGCCTATGACTTATACCGAGTTTAAAATACGGGCGATACTAGCGAGATATAGTTGCAAGTGGTTATTTTATGAGGAGGTTCAGGCTGTCTTCTCCTGTTCGATGACGTCCTTGGTGGGGAGAGGGTTCTTCTCGCACGTCTCGGTGTGCTTCAGCTTGGTAGGGTCGAAGTTCTCGATGCCGTTCAAGAACTTGTTCTTCTCCTTCTCCGCCTCGATAGCTGTCAGTGAAAATGTCATGTTAGTGGATTCTTTCGTACATTTACATTAATAAAATAGATGACACATTCTTCCCCGATAATGTCGTTAGGATTTAAAAAGTTGTTAAATTACAGTGTCTAAATTGGTACCTCATAGGTATATGAGGATCCTGAACGTGGTAAGAATGATATACTATACGGCTTTTCTTAATAATTTTGTACCATTGGGCATATATTGAAAAGTTCTTTACGAGTTTCTGGACGCCATAAATCTATAATTCAAATAGTGAGTCATGGTAGATAAGTGCGGCATATCAAGATGTTTTAAGGGTACTTTACTAATGTCTCGTTCGTATCATGGATACGTTTACGAACAGAAAATAAGAACGTAGGTAGACGCAAAACCGGAAATCGAATCCGTTGCGCTCTACACAATTGCTATTGATCAACAATGTAATCAATTGGTAACAGACCTCAAAAAGAAAAAAAGAATTGTTTGTATATTGGTTTACGTAGGTAATAAGAAAGTTATCAAAGGCATGAAAGCAGCAGGCGTTCATTCATAAACAGAGTGAAAAAATATAAAACATATACTTAGAATAAGCAGAAAATAAAAAGCGGCAAAAATAAACCTTCAATAGGCGGTAATGGGTTCTTTTCTTCTGTCGTGGTATGCTTCATCTGGCTCTTGTCGAAGTGTTCAACGCCATCCAAAAGATTCTGATGCTGTTTCTCCGCGGCAACAACTGATGCAAAGCAAATCGTGCAAGGCAAAACATAATAAATACGAGTAAATAATATTAAGCATTCAAATCTCTCGTATATGTAACACAATCATTCAAGTAAGGCACATTTACATGCTAATATTGGCTCAGACACGATACGCATGTGCTTAGATGGAATAAAAAGCGTGTCATACCGTAAATAGTCACAAAAACATTGATAAGCTAATGAGTCTTGACTTCTTGAGTCATTTAAACTGCATACGATTATCCAAAGTTTCCAGTAGGTATGTTTCCATCAAGGAATGCATTAGACTAGATAAAGAAAAAACATATCTTAACTATTTTTTTAAAGTTGCACATATACATGCATAACTTATAGCTCAGTGGTGCCGGTGCTGGTAAAAGAAATCAATAAAAAGCATACCATCTTTGTCGGGAAGAGGGTTCTTTTCCTGTGTTTCTGTGTGCTTCAACCTGGTAGCATCAAACTTTTCAATGCCATCGAACAGGGATTTTTGAGTTTTTTCAGTGGCAACATCTGTAAATCATAGACAATATGTGTTAGACAGAGTATTCGAATATTTGAAATTCAAAATTGGCGCACTCTCACAACGTACAACGTGTAAAAACATGCGCGTTATTATTTTAGTAAAACTTTGAAGACAGTTAGAAATACAACAATAACTGCACTGCAATGAGTCGTAAAATACATATTAGTGTCCCCTGGTTTAGTTCCCCAGTTAAAATTAGAAGGAATGCGATGAGCACAAGCAGCCACGTCTCACAGGCGTATTGCGGCTCGCTATTATTTATTAGTGGAGCGTCATTCCACCCAGCGATATACCTAGTGCGTTCGGAAGCACAATTTTTTCCACGGTCTCCGTTTTCCTGAGGGAGGATGGCTGAAATTGTTCTACGCCTTGAAGTAGCGCGTTGTGTTGCTTTTCTTGCGCTACGTCTGTTGTGAATGAAATTCTTTGTTATTCTGTTACAGACAATTAGCACTCATGGAATGCTGTTTTAGATGGAGCATTCAGAGTGTGATTCTAGATTTCGATTCTTTGTGATTTGCTGTGGATTTTAGATAAGGCTGATTACCTAATAAATACCCAAATCCTAATCTTTGGAGATGAGCTAATGATTAGGATTCCCAGCGTTCCTTAGGTAGGTACTTATTACACTATTATCTCCCGTAACATAAAACACATGAGAGGCCTGTTTAAATAGTTTGACTGGTAACTTAACTAAAAATCTCCAGTTTTTTGAAAACCCATAGAATGAATTCAGTTAGTTAAGTTGCAAACTCAAAGAAGTCTATCTATTGGCTAAAAAATCTACGCTTCCTCATCACTGTTATACCAAAACTTGTCAATAATTATCATACCACAGATCCCAGCACCTAGCGTAGTCAAAAAAACCTTGATAAAAAATAATTAAACGGTATGTATATTTTGATCATCATGTCCATCTCCTCTCCATCATGTACATACCTTCGGCAGATGGCAGCACGATCTTCTCATTTGTGTCTACGTCACGCAGGCAGCTCTGGTTGAAACCTTCCAACTGACTCTTCAGGTCCGTGGCTACCTTGGGTAGGTCCTTGAGGGAGGGGGCATCTACTGAGCACGCCATTTTTTATAAATCTGAAATCAAGATAATAATGGAGATTAGACATAGTCAATATAAAAATAAATAATTCGATATCTGATGTTACCTATAATAGTTAGGTTTTAATGGTCTTAGAATTGTAGATTTTAAAGAGGAAAGTTAAATTATTATTACGCACAAGCAAAAGAAAGCTTTGGACTGTAACTTATCGACTGTCAAAGGGCTATTGACCTTTCTTTCAAATAAGTGCCTAGTACTTTTAATTTTTATCACACCACACAAGATGGATGATTAGATCTCAAAATTTTCAAGTTAATTAAAAGTAAAGCTTTTAGAATTTCCTTTGTTTGTATCTAGCTCAACTATTGAGTAAATGTCGTTAAAAGTGAGTCACAAGAAACTCATTTAACGACGTAAAAGAATGTTAGAAGTAACATTGGATGTGGGTGTACAGTGTACGGCTTTCACGTATCGCTGGCGAACTAAATTGGTTCTCGATGAAACATCGCATTAGCGGGCTTAGTTACTCTGCTAGACCGACGCCCATAGCTTACTTAACAACCAACAATCGATAAGAATTGTAGATACCTACTTAGTTTACAAGAAATTTGAAGATATCGAGACATTTCCAACGGTTTTGATGTCAATGAACTTTATGTTTCAGAGTGCAAAAAAATATGGAGAGTTCTAAAATATTTTTAAATTATATTGTGCGCAATTCCCTCGTTTATTTCCTTACAGAATTATGTACCTACCTACCTACACGATCAAGAAAAATGTAATTATTTCTTACTTATTGATAATTAGCTCATGGATTAACTGTCTTTCGCCACGGTTACTGCGACCTCTTCAATTACAAATCGCTTGTCGAGCGGAGAGTGAACTAACGGCAATTTACCAAGCATAATATGCGTACCACGGCCATTGTTGGCGAGCTAACTGTTTATACCTTCGCCCACATGTAATGTAAGATGAAAACAAACTATACGCTGTCTCATTATTACGAAGAATAAGTTATTGTGGAGCTAAGTTATGTACATGTTAAGAGTTTTAATTATTCAATGCGTTTAAGATTAATTTCTTTTTTCTTAAATCGAATTCCCAAATATTCTACCCTTTAGCGTATAAATATTGATAAAATAATAAAATTGTCTCTGGTATTTTTTGCCAGCCAGTATTCCCGCTGCCTGTTATGATGAGCAAGCGAGGCGCGGCCGCAATCGTAGCTAACGTTCGTCGCATATTAAAACATGGGGTCATTGTTGCCAGCAACTCGGCGTGTATACTAAACCAGAATACATCCTGTGGACAGGGAAACAATCTTTTGTTTCCAAAAGGATGTTTGCTCAGTCTCATAGTTTCATCAGAATGTTATTAATTAAAGTTTCTGTTGACGATAAAGAAATTAATTACAGGTACGTCAATGAAATACCTACCGCGAAATTTAAAATGCTATAAAGAGTGTACCTACCTATAAACTTGAATGTAAACTAAGTTAGTTTTAAATAACTTTTTTATATGAAACCATAATAGTTTATAGTTACATGTGGTATACATACATGAGGTAATGATGAAACAAAAGCGTCAATCCTAATAATAAGCACACGAGTAATAATAATACAAGGATAAAGTCTATTCTTGTAAACGCGTCCTGTAATAGAATGTTCCAGAAATGTCATTTATAAAATAGTAAACAGATAATAACAGTTTGTCGATAGTTTAACACAATTCGTGTTGATATGCTTGATTGACATAATACCATCGTAATAGCAACCAGTTATTCTTGTTTGTTTAGCAAACGAGGGTCATTGACCGGCTTGCCTAACGAATTATTTAATTGTCTATTGTGCATAGTAAGTCATTAATACTTTTATGTATCATTGAGTTGTGATTAAACCTCAATACATGACTTATTATATAGCTATCTACTATAATATGTACCTACTGCATACATAATTTTATCACACATGTATTTGCACATTACATATTTTTCGACCTCTAACAAACATTGAGCGAATTGTTTAGTGTTGAGTTCATGGACAGACAAAAATATATATTTTTGGAAGAAACGATGACAAAACTCTTTAATGTGTAGTAGGTACATAATCTTGCGTAATTTGGATAAATGAAATGCATGGGACCCAAGATGCTACCTTGCGATACTCTGCCAAGCGGGCGATAGACTGTAAAATTATAATAGCTTTCTTTATTACGCTAAGCAATTTATTAAACATTAATTACAGCAATTCAAATGAAATTGCTTGTTGATCGTAACTTTAATAATAACTGCTTCGTTTGTTAAATGACTAAAGAATTCAGTGAAACAAAGTGTGTAATATTTCGTCACAAGGGCGCCACGTACCTACATTCCGGTTCTACCTGTGTTGATAAATATACAAAACCAGTGGAACATGTTTGGGGTGGTGCACGGCGACACGATAACATAATTGCAACTCGCAAAATATACAAAAAAAAAATCGAAATAAACACAAGTACGTACTTAAAGATGTTTTTGAACGATCCTTTAATTTCTTCTCATTCTCAAAATTGGTGATAAGTAAGGACTTTGCTCGTATTATATATTCATAGCTAACAATACAATCCCTCATTGAAGATTACTCATTGTTTGGTTCAATTAATCAATTCAGCCGGCGGCAACAGCGTGCTAGGGCGTGGACTTATCGGACATTCCAATAGGTACTAACCATTGTGATCTTCTTTAGGAGGCATAATAGAGTAAATTTTTTATTGTAATATAAATAAAATAAACCTACCTAATTTAACCCTTTGAGAAAGTACACATTTTAAAGGTAATTTTAAAAGTCTGAAAGTGGATTCGAGTGAGCTACCCAACTTTAAATTACTTAGATAACTTCGTAAATACAGAAAGAAATGTCGGAAAGCTTCGAAAGTCCCCAAACAAATCCTTTGAAGATTACGTTTCGGATATTTGAGAAGGATGGGGATGACACAAACAATATTGCTGGCAAAAAGAAACAACTGCCATCAAGGCAAGATGTTCAAACAAAATTGATGTTTACACGAAACTTTCTTCAAGAAATATCTGAGCGCATGTTTGTGTGGGAAGAACTTCATATTTTTAATGTAAACAAAACATAAGCTGATCAGTTTTATGAGTTCTAAACTTTACGACTATTTTGAGTGGCTAACAAACTAAATGGCCTGTGAAGCTTTAAATATTATGGAAGAACTTGTTTAACAAGGAGAAATTGGCAAAAAAGTAAGTTCTGGCAACACGTCTATAGATGCAGGCGTCCACTAGGAAGTGCGCAGAAGTTTGGCATTTAGATTTGGCAGCTGGAACATTTCGAAGGCGACATATTGGCACAGAACTTTATCTACAACGATATACTTAGGCTCCAAAATAAACTAATTGGGCTTCCAAACACTTGGGACTACTTCTAAATAAGGACCCACTTCGGTTAGTACCAAACTTCCGAACAAAGTAAAACTCTATTTCTGAGTAGTAGTTATATTAAACTGCGACAAAGTTTCAAGATTTAGGGCGTCCTCGTTACTACTTATTAAACCATGTTACACAACATGCTGTAAATGTACAAAAAGTGAAAATGTCCGTTCTTAAAATAAATGTAAAATAAACTTTATCGAACAATAAATTATAGCGAAGTATTTATCAATTGGCCTCAATAGGCCAGTCCTTGTTTATCCATGGCAGTCAGGTTTTTCAAGGTTTTGCAACCGATAACTGCTAGCTGGGGCATCCGATGCACCGAAACAGTCTTGTATTGTAGGAAGCTTATAATGGATGATTATGTAAATAATAATATCCCGTTTTATGGATAACTGTTTATGTAGATAATAATATTATGTTGGTAAACAAACGACACATAGATAATAGATTAAATGCAAAAATGATCTTATATATCTATTCTTGTACCTAACCATTTACTTCTAAATTAAAAAAATCTAGATTAAGTGTTCTCATTATATATACATAAGACTAAAGACAAAACAGCTCTAAAATATATTTATTTGGCTTCATTTCTTTGAATTTACTGCTAAAAGTGAAGTGGATAGCAGAGTATATAAATAAACATCGTTATTAAATTAAACACATAATAGAACCCGTTCATTAGGTAATAAGAGAGGGTCAGAAGGACCTTTAAGTTGGAAAAGGGTCTGAAGAAATTGAAGATCAATACGCAAAGGTTCACTTAATTGGGAACCTTCACTTGAGGAACTTAGACGTCCCTACCTATCTTTATAGTTGTGGAGTACCCAATCTTGAGGTATCTAATGAGTTGTGCGCAGTGGTAGATAAGTAGCACTATATTGGTTTGCGGTGAGGTGTTAGTTAACATAAATACGTCCCGCACATATCTCGTTACTCGGCCCGTACCGCACGGGGCTTGCGCCGCTAATCAGAGCATGTTGCTTCTAATTAAACTCGAAGAAAACACTCGTTTAAAAACACCAGATGGATTCTAGAAAATAGCAATTTTAACTTTTTCGACTGTTTATCGACCACAAGGCCGTGGCGAGAGCGATTTTATCGCCAGACATTTCAGGAAAAAACCTATAAATTGTCACGGATTTAGTGTAAGGTAATATATTTCGCCAAAACTTACTCAGACTTATAGCCTAAATCTAAATCTATAAGGTGAGGTCATCGCAGTCACGCCACATTACGGTTTTATGCCCAACGTTGATAATACAGTACTGTAGCTTGGAAGGATGCGTCATAATTGATTCATGCTACTCAAGCACCTTATCCATTTAGAAATACTAACATTTCTTTCTTGTGTCGAGAAAGGATGTGAGTCATGGCCGTGCTTGACGACATCGCCACATCGACACAGAAAAAAACAATGGGCCTTAAAGATATCTCCATACTCTGGTGCAACAACAATGGCTGTCACACACAATCTAATGTGTCTGGCCATCTGTGAGCCAGTCTCGTCTCTTCGAAATAAAATCAAGAGTTCTATTGTAACTTTATATTAACTCAGCTTAACGGTTCGTGGCGTGTCATGGCGCCTTTCCAAAACCTTAT